TCCGTGGCATCACTTGGTAACCAGAAAAGCTTTGTTCATGAGTCTTAAGCTGTCAGAGAAGACTGCGCCATACAAATCATCTGATAGTTACTTTGTTTTCTTTCGAAGAAGCACAAAAATAGTCAAAGGAGCTTGCAAAGAAAAGCGTCTGGACTTCTTTAAGTTGCTTGAAGACGTTTCACCTCTCATCCGAGAAGCTTCTTCAGTTCTAAGGTCAAATGGCCGAGAGTCCCAGATTTAAACCTCCTTTCACACCTTGGCTCAGGCGATTAGAGGATCATCAGGGGGTCCTTTTGTCCCTCTGTGGGGGGATACTCCCACTCATAGTGCGGCACTCAATCGTGATATGTATGAAGTTATTAACATCTCAAATGAGTTGTACAGTATGACTTGTTAATATAAACCAGTACTTCATGTCACCATATTGAATGTATTTCTGAATGGAGAGGATTGTTTGAGAAGTTTCCTTTAAAGTCTTCTAAGTCAAATAATGTTTGTTAAAAATAACACGCGTGCCTACCTTTTTCTTTTCAGTCATTCAAACAGCAGTTTCAGCACCACAGGCTGCCGTGGTGAAGCAATGGGATCAAAACCATCAACTGCGACTGATCTAAAGGTACGTGTGCTTGTTCAGGTTCTGTAAATGAAATGTCATCCTCATCCATCAGAGCTTATTACTGACTGACTGCTGCTGTGACACATGCACGCACACACCCTTACAGAGACACACTGGTATGTGGTAAGCATTTTTAAAAGGCAGAACATGCATGCACACATATGCGTGCACGCACAGTCTCTGTAACTTGTGTCAGTGTCACTAAACCAGTTTGTCTGCATTGTTCTGTCATAGTCACACACTATGACAAAACCAAAACACGCCTGCACGCACAACAAAAGGCTCTGCCATCTCTCTATACACACATGCACAGTGAGAACAAACAGGAAAAATTTAAGACACACACACACATATGTGCAAATGCTAGTGCACAAAATTAAGGCATCAGAACACGTAGCCGGTGTACTAAATTTACAGTGATGTGAAACTTCTTGTTCAGTCTTCAATTTAAAAGGAAAGAGAAATCAAGCGTCAAATTAAAAATCTGACCACTGTTTAATATCATTTCATTTTATTTAGTATGTTAGTCTGACACATATATATTTGAATCATACCTGCTGGTTGACTCTCTGGTGCTGTGTACGTATCAGATTCTGGATGCTTCTTGTATCCAAAGCATGTAGTTTTGTCCTTAGTCTCATATAAGCTACGAAACAAATACAAATCCTCCGTTTTCATGGTTTCCTGATGTATGGAGAGAAATCCACACACAGACACATTTCCATTGAAGACATCAGTGAAGGTAGGATCTGTGTTTCAGTTCTCTCACTTGTGACTTTTCTCCAGTCTTTCTCTCTCGGTCTCTCTGCCTCAGGTTAGCCACACCCACCACCGACACTTTTTCTTTCTCAGCTTTATCACCTGCACATAGTCTGCAGTCAGTGTTGTATTTGTTTTTGAGTGTCACTGCTCATGTTTTCTCTCTGTGTATGTGTGTATGTGTTAGCTGGGTGGATTTATTAGCTGACAAACTTGGAGTTTTCCAGTGGGTGGAAATGCGTAATAATTTTTATTCCATCAGCTGCAGAAAAACTGGACTACATAGCAAACAGTCTGTTTAATTGCAGACTTGGCCTGCAGTTAAATGTAGTAGTTGTTGAATATACACAGACAGTGAAAGCTCAAACAGTGCACCTGTCCAACTATCGTAGCTGAATAAATAATGATTCCTCCACTATACTGCAGTACTGAGATTTATTTACATATTAAACAGGCAACTCTCAACTTGATCACACCTTTCCACTCTGTTTGGAAAGGTGTGATCAAGGGTGGTTAGTTTGCACTTGTTAAAGCAGCTGTGTCTGTCCCATATGATGTGTGGTCCAAGCACAAAACACAGCAGAGCTTTCTCACCAGTGCTTCTGCGGGACTAATGCAAAGATGCACACTGGGGAGTTAATTTAACCCTTCCAACACAAATCCTGGTTTAGCAGCTGTAATTAGAGTGTATAGGTGGACTATTCTGGTATTAATTAGTGACATTTCCTCTTTGTTTTTCTTTAGGCCTACACTTCAGATGAAAGAAAAAGATGAGCAAAGTAAACCACATGCAGATCCATTTTGAAGAGGCCTGAAGTCTCAGTAGGAACAAACATATCCAAGGCACACTCGAATATTTGTAGCTTTTGTGTGAAAGCCTGTGTGAAGTGTCATTGTAGTGGCCTTGCTATTGAAGGCCACAGGTTTAATCCTTTTTGATTTTCCACTTTTACCTTCCTTTAGGAGCACGGTGAAACTGCCGTGGCTGTTTTGGTTTCAACCATCATGGAAATCTCTCCTGGTGCTCTCACTGCTGTCTCTGGTTTCAACCTGCACAAGTTCATCAGGGCAACACAGAGGTAACCAGCACTACATATTGTGTGCCACACCTCAGCGTATGTTGTTGCTGTTTAGGCTTTTTATGTTTAAGACACAAGCAAAGATTTTATGTTTTGCTTGAGTTGTTTAAAGGTTTCTGATTGTGTTGTTCTGTGTTTCTTTTAGCTGCTTCTGTTCTGAGAAAGAACTTTTGATATTGTTTACATTTCTGAGGTTTTGCTTAATCATGATTATTGTTCTGTTAGGCAGCCCATCTGTTGCTTCAGTCACTATTTCTTTGTTTTCCACCTCTAGTATGCATTGGAATTCTGCAAATGTGTGTTTGAAAGCAGATTACTTCACTGTCTGAAGCTTGATTTGTACCACAGCATTAAATATTACACCCCACATGCTGTAACCTCTGCTGTAGCCTGACATACACGCTCCAAGAAAAGCAGCTACATGTACACAAAACAGATTATTATGTACACCTGATTATTACAAGGGTAATGCCCCTGCATCCATTTTCTTAATTGCTTATCCAAGTTAGGGTCCCGGGAGGCCTGGAGTTCTTGTTGTCATAGAGCTGGACAGGTTGGCAGTGTGTCACAGGGATCATCCAGAGAGAAATTATAGCAGCAATGGCTAATATTTTTAAAAATTTAGACATACACTCATCTGCACTTTTAGGTGCACCTTGCTAGTACTGCATTAGACCCCCATTTACCTTCAGAACTGCATCAGTTTTCCACAGCATAGATCATGTGAATCTCCGATGTGTTTTCCAGTCTCCTATTGTCCAGTTTTGGTGAGCCTATATGAATTGTATGAGTTTCCAGTTCTTAGCTGCCAGGAATGGTACCGTGTGGTCTGCAGCTGTAGCTGTGCTCCCTGGTTAAATACCTGCTTACCTTTGTTGTAACAAATGGTTATTTGAGCTCCTGTTGCTCTCCTGTAAAGTTGAACCAGTCTGGGCATGTTTTCTGACATCAGCAGGGTATTTTTCACCCAGAGCTGGTCATCTTTACGTCACTGCCTGAATGCACCGAGTTGCTGCCATGAAACTCACAGTTTAGATATTTGCATTGACAATCAAGTTTACAGGCATGTCTAACAAACTCACTTGTCCCTCATTTTCATTCTAACAGGTCTTTGAGCCAGTTTTTCTTTCTTTTAAAGCATTTCATTTGTAAAGAAACAAATTCCCAGTGTTTATTTCCTCATTCCAGTTTGAATAACCCAGTTTCATGTGTGACTGGAGAGCAGAACAAACCAGTTCAGCCATTATATGGATCTACAGCAGCTTCCTCGTGCAAAACTGGTCCCTTGTGCATACACTGATCTTTTTAGTTCAAATTTGGCTTTGTGTAATGTAAGCATCTGGACCTTTCACAGAAAATATAGCAGAAAATAAGGAAAAGCATGGTGGGAAAAAGTGCATTGCTTTTCTTCTGATGTAATGGACAGGCTGTAAAACAACCTTTTTTTGCGCCACGGACCGGTTTATGCCCGACAATATTTTCACGGACCGGCCTTTAAGGTGTCGCAGAAAAATACAACAAAATAAAACTAGTACAGGTACCAAAAAAAAGAAGATTTATTCATAACACATGTGAAAAGACCCAGGAAGACCGAGTTAAAGATAAAAACGATAACAAAATAACGCTGAAAACCGATAAAAACCCTGAAAACCAGACATTTCACACCTGAGCCTCAACTCTCGCGGCCCGGTACCAAACGACTCACGGACCGGTCCGAGGCCCGGGGGCTGGGGACCGCTGCTCTACAGGGATCAGCCATAAACCATGCTGGACTGTGGTTACTGCTGATTAACACATGAGACAATTTATCTTTCCAGATTCTTTGAGAAGTTCTCTTTTGGTCCCTTCCTGCTGAAAGGATTCATTTTGAATTTCTGTGCTTAAACAGTCTACATGTAAGGAGCTAACAGACTGAAGAGTTTTGCTTTTTTTTTTTTGTCTGAGTTTTGAAAAGACACGTTGTTATTGTGCATGTTTTCACAGAATTTGCATAACAACGAAACAAATTAAACTATTTAGCATTCACCACCTGTTCTTTAGCACTGAAAACACAAAGCGCTGACCTCTAACACTGATAATCAGACTTAAACTACCTAGGCAGTCAAAATTAGCAGCTAGCTAATTAGTGGCATGTTTTAAAAACTGCATCTTATTTAAAAAAAACAAACAAACAGATCTCTTAATACTGTTGGATGGATTAGTAACATCTTAACCCAAGGTTGAATAACCAGGATTCCCCTCCAAAGAAACGCTGAGCTTCTCCCTTTTCATGACCTGGTTGACCTGTAGCTCTTTAAATATTGAGCAACAACTAGTTCAGTTAGTATATTATTCACTTGGTATTTAGTCTGTCTCATTAAATCTGAGTTCATTTTACAGATAGCTTGGAGTACTGCAGGGGTAACCCCAGCTGGAACTATTTGTGTTTGTGTGTGCGGTGTGAATCTATGCCTTTCAGTGTATGTGTGTATGTGCGTGTTTGTGTGTAAGCGCGTCCTGGCTGTGCGTCCACAGCAGTACTGGTATTGCTGAGACAGACGGTGAGCGGGTAGGTTTATTTTTGGGTCAGTGACAGTGTGTCAATGGCTGCAGATGCGTCGGAAAGGAAAGCTCTTAGATACAAGCAAACCCTGGTCAGTGTCCCTTCTCTTTCATTTCTCTTTCGCTCTCTGTCTGTCTCTGTCCTTGTGCCATGTCTACACCAGCCTTGATGTTTCATATCTAGCATGCGTCTGCAGTTTTGTTGCGGGAGTCCTGCATAACGCACCTGTATCGTCCACACTAATCTGCGTCCTTGTGAATGAACAGCATGTGACAAGGTGATGTGTAACAGCAGTATCAAACACACGGGCGTGCAAACAGGTGCTCTGATGCTGTGCAGCTCCTTCGCCCCTGTGACGCTGTCTCGCTACTTGTTTCCTACCGTCTCTGCTGGCCACCTGTTTGCTACCCTCTCTGTGCCTCGCTTCTTAAGCCCTGCTTGGTCTTTGCACATGTGGGACAGGCTTCTGTGACAAGTGCATGACTCTGCATGTCAACAGTTTCTGTGTATTAGGGGGTTTTGTGCGTGTACATGTGTGTGTCCCAGGTGGTTTTCCATATGTTTCCAAAGAGGGGAAACCTGACCATGCATTTCCAGCATTCATGTAGCTGCTTGTGTCTTTTGGGACAAAGCAGTGTGAAGAGCGTCTCTCAACATCTGGCGGGTTTTCATTACAGCTTTGAGAGGTTCTGTTACACAACTCTGAATCGTCTTTTTCTTGTTGTTGAGTTGTTTAGGAGACCAGAGAACTGGAAACATTTTTGTTTGTTGTTTTTTTGTTGGTGTTTTTCTTTTCTTAATATCTGATTGTTCACTGTTAGCTTGTAATTTCTATTGAATAAATGTTTTTTTTACATCTACAATAATAAGCAAAAGTTTAGTTTTTTGAGGTGGATCAGTGACGCTCTATATTTTTATTGTGTGACTTTAGTAGAGTGGCTGTCATTGATTCATAGCTGATTCATTGATTCATGTCATGGGTCTTGGCCTTGCTGTAGCTCATCAGTTCATCCCCTGTCTGAACCAAGCTGTTCAAGCTCCCTTCCCTCTTTTTGTAGGACATCTTTCTTATGAATAGCTTCCTCGTGCAAAACTGGTCCCTTGTGCATACACTGATCTTTTTAGTTCAAATTTGGCTTTGTGTAATGTAAGCATCTGGACCTTTCACAGAAAATATGGCAGAAAATAAGGAAAAGCATGGTGGGAAAAAGTGCATTGCTTTTCTTCTGATGTAACGGACAGGATGTAAAACAACCTTTTTTGCGCCACGGACCGGTTTATGTCCGACAACATTTTCACAGACCGGCCTTTAAGATATCGCGGATAAATACAACAAAATAAAACTAGTACCGCTACAAAAAAAAGAAAAAGATTTATTCATAACACACGTGAAAAGACCCAGGAAAACCGAGTTAACGATAAAAATGATAACAGAATGATGATAAAAACCCTGAAAACCATAAATTTCAGCCTCAAGGCCCATCCATGGCCCCGGACCATGGACAGCTACTGTAAAAGATAGTTATGGTTTAATTGAAACATTTATTCTAAATGATTTCTGATTTTTAATGAAATTGAATATTATAATGATAAGAAAAGTTAGAAACCCTGGTACACAACTGGGAAACAGAAATCTCCCATGCTGTTACTGACACATACATGCCACATTATACTGGTTTGTGAAGCGAGTGGTACACATGAGTGTATTTCAGTGTGTTAAGAAGAGAAATGTTAAACTCTTTTTGGCTTTAGTTGCCAGGATAACAGTTTTAACAGTCTTTTAAACATCATAAATGTTCATTAGGTAACAAACAGTGGAACATAAGAGTGATGACTGCTGACAATATGCCTTTGTACACATATCCGTATACTGAAAATTGTTATTATGAATCCATGAATTCAATTTCATGCTGTATTAGATGGAAATGAACATTCTTTGCTTTCATAAATAATGACTCCTTTAAGTGACATCACAAGTTTTAGAGGTAGCTTGTTTTTTTTACTTTACACTGCTGAAAATTTAAAGCCTATCAAATTAGGATTGAAATCCCCACACTCTCAGACCTTTCTGAAGGTCTATTTTATTTATACTTTCTGTATTTTTACTTTGTGTACTTGTAAGATACTCGTCCGTGAAGCTGCCTTTGATTGCAGTGCTGTCTTTTTAATCTCCTGAGTCATTTTCCTGCTTAAATCATGGTTAGTTAAAAGCAAATAAAAAATATATATTAAAAAAATCACTCTGACAGACTAAGCCATACAGCAGCCCTCCTCCGTGGTGTTGAGAGCCTGGAATGTGAAGGCTGGTGATCAGAGTGACCTATAGAATTTAATGGCTGTTGAAATCGTACGCCTACGAGTACCTGAGAGAGTGCAAAGTTATCTAATCTGTCGTGTGTGTGTGTTTGTGCTTTTGGATACTATGCATGCTGTGGTAACATCTTTCCCATTTCTTATGTGTCCTTTTTTAAATTTGATAATAAAAAAACTCTGACAGCAATTTCTTACAATCAGGACACGTGGCCAGAGAGCTGGCAGTCATGCAGAGAATGCGTGGAGTTAAACCGGCCTCTATTTTAGAAACGCTTCATATGCGTCGGCTTTGACTGCACATGACGACATATAGTGGCTTAACTCACATTGTTATATAAATCCCTCTCTGTACAGAGCGATACCTGCTCATGATGTGACATAATTCAGTTGGGAAAAATATTAGTAAATTATCCAAAAAGAACAAAAAAAAAACTCTATCTTCCAGAGCAGTGTGGTTAGAGACAGAAAATGTATCAGATTTATGGTTTCCTGATTTTCTTTTTTCTGTTCTGTTTATGAAATGCACAGAAAATATGAACATTTCATTGAGTTTCTTTTGCAATATTTGTATAGATAATCAGTGGTTAGCACTGTTGTGTCACAGGAAGAAGATCCTGCTCCATCTCTGCTCCTCCATCTGGCCTGGTTTTCCTGTGTGTAGTCTGCATGGGTGGGTTCTCTCTGGGTTCTCCAGCTTCCTCCCACAGTCCAGTTCTAAATTGGATATAGGTGTGAATCTGAGTGTGAATGGTTGTCTATCTCTGTGTTAGCCCTACGGCAGGCTGATAACCTGCCCAGGGTGTGCCACGCCTCTCGCCACGTGACAGCCCGTCCACCATATGATAGGTGGCCCAGTTCCAGTCTGTCCTGGCTGGCCCTACCAACTCCTTATTATAAGAAGTTAAGTTGCCACTGTCCAGCTGTAGGTACTTCATGCCAACAAGCACAACAACAGATCAAAAACCCATTTAAAACATTTGCCAAGTTAAGAGGTCAGTCTGACTAAAAAAGCCTGGACACTGTGTGCATATATGGTGATGACCTGTCAATCACAAAGTAACCACACAGGTTTGGCATGGCATTCTCTATAAATGTTATATAATTTGAAAAATAATATAGAATTTCTTAAATGAGCCTCAAAACTAACCACCGAGCCCATGAGCTCATTAAGAAAGTGTTTACTGAGGTCATAAATCAGTGCAGAAGTAGTGTTGTTTCTCTATTGATTGTTATGAAAACGGACGTCTTTTCTTAATAAGAGTCGCTCCCTGTTGGCTGTTTGAAATATTGCATTTTTTTGGCAACTGTCCCACTTTTCAGACCCAGAGGTACGTCTGTCTTTGATATACTGAGTGTTTTGGAGCAGTTTTAATCCCTTCATACTTCCTTTCGATGTATTCCCAAAGCGAACAGGACCCAGTTAGAAGAACACAGAGTAAATGAATGTGAGACATGGGAAAAACCGTGGAATACGATGAGGCATTGAAATGTACGATGGTAGGAGAGAGGTGTGGGAAATGTAATGAGGAATATTGGATCACACTGGTCCTAAATTTAGCCCAGAGTAGTGTTTCAGCGGCAAAGAGAGAGAGAGTGGTGAAGTAAGGAATAAGAGTAGGGTGCAGTGAAGGAAGGGGGCACAAGTGATTAGTGCAGAGTAGAGTTTCAGTGGTCAAGAGGAAAACAGGAAAGAGGTAAAGGGGACAGTGTCAGATTTCTGACAACATACAGTACTGCGCACAAGTCTTGAACCACACCTCATGTCTTTGATTCTTGCTTCCAAGCAGCCAGACGTTCGTGGAATTTTTAAAAGTAAGTAAAGAGCAGTAATTCTCCGGGATTTCTTAAGGTCTTTCAAACTTTGTCTTTGGACGTTGGCTGCTTTTTCATTAGTCCTTTTACTTTTCTTACTCCAGTTAATCGCTTAACACTGGCCTATTTAAGCACTTAAGGGATGAATGAATGTTGTGTCAACACATAACAGACAACTTAGCAAAGAAACAATTTTAGTTGGTCAGTTGAGCCAAAGCCTCATAAATCATCTCAGGCTCTCAAGAAGGAAAGAGAAGAAGGAAAGTAAGAGGAAAGGCTAAGGATGCCAAGTTATAAATAAAGAACATTTTAAGGCCTTCATTTCTATTGATTGCATACTGCCAAGTGTGAATCTACTGCCACAAGGTGTCAGCAGCAGCAACATTGTAGCAGCAGTGACACAGCAGAAGTCAAATCTGGCCCAAGTAGAATTTTCCCTGAAAATTGGATGTAAAAGTAACTGCTTAACACTGTTTTTTAACAGGCCGTGTTGAAGGATAAAGGCAGTCATACCAACTATTGGCTTTCATGCTGGTTGGAATTCTACAACCTCCGTTTTTGCCGTGTATACTCTTTTTACTCTTTTTCCAACTTTATTTGCCTCTTATCCATTTTCCTAGCAAAATACAAGAAATGAAGTGTGACTCAAAAACTTTGCACATCATTAGTATGTGTGAGATTTGAATCTCTTAAATTCAGAATGTTTTTAATGTTTGTCATCCTAATAACCAATTTGTCCACATTTTTTCTGTTATAGTATTGATTCAACAATTTTAATTCAGGATTCCTTCGCGCCATCTGTTTGCATGTTATGGAAATTATGAGAAACTTCTTATGTAGAATGCACAAAGCATCTTTTTGTAATGTGCTTTTGTATTTTAAAAGCTTGTTTCACCCAATTTTACTGCTGCTTAGATTAAAAGAGTGCCACACGTGTGATCCTTTTAACTTTTATCACATGAGCTCTGAGTCAGGACGTCCGTGCCTTGCTCTGTTGTTTGAGCCTGTGCTGTGTGCAGGCATTCAGTTGTAGTACTTTGTGTGTTATGCTGCTCAGGTTTCACCATGCATTGACTGCCATCTATGCACACAAACACACACAGACACACAGCATGTCCAGCGCCTTATGTGCATGTGTGTCTGTGTATCTAAATCCATCCATCCGTCAGTCGGCCTGTCCGTGAACCTGCTAAATCAGAAGGCGTTGAAAGGATCACACGTGGACGTGATATAAGCGACAACTTACCAGCTTGTCACTTATATTCCTGGGTTGCTATTGTCTGCTGTTCATGTACCAAAGCACATATGAGGCTCGGTCCTGTATTTGTGGGGCAGTGCTGGAGTTTTTTATGGTTCAAGTGTAAATGGGTAAATGAGCTGGAATCTCTGTATCCACTCTGCCTTTTGTATCTATGGAGTGACAATGAAATTTAAAGAACCTCTGTGACTGTGGTGACGACTAGGCCTGATCCACCTGTCAGGGAGGTTTGTACACATTTGCATCACATTTGCACCGTAACAGAGTGAAACCATGGTAAAGGTTTCACACTCAGATTACATTAAGTGAAGTCAAACTTTACATTCAACTACTAGTTTTAGTAAATTGTTACATTGTGATTTAATACTATATAAAAAAACTAGTAAAAATACTTTTTATTTGCAGCTGTATGATGTAAATATATGACATCAGAGAATATGATGAGCGTATTGACTGTGCACCAAAGCATTTTTTGTCAGTATGCAGTTACACTAAGGTGGCTACACTATGTGTCGTTGAGTTTATGTGACTCTGTTTGTTGCATTTACAGTTTAGTATTTTTGCTTTCCTTGCAGCTGCATTACTTCTGTGTTTTAACTACAAAAAATCTTTTCTTTATTTTGTCTGTCCTTTCATTGAAGTGAGATTCCCACAGAGAGACTGAATGCACCTTCCCTCTGTTTGGTTTTGCAGCAGATGACATTTTACAATAGTTAGCGATTGAAAACAGAGGCGGAGTTCTCAGTACAGCACTCCAAACTAGTCCTAAACAGTTCGGCTATGTGAGAAAGAATAAATTGAGAATTGTGATAGCAGCTTTTGCAGCGTTCAAACTCATCCCGTGTACATTGAAAATGTAGTTTAGATACAGATATAATATTTGTTGGTAGCACTTGAGACAGGACAGACTTTGAACACCTGTAAAAGAATTTCACACATGTGCATATCAAAATATTTGAATATAAACACATTTTACTTCTAGTGGGTTATTTTTTTTATGCTTAATCAAATGATGAGCTGCTAGTCTGTCTCCCATTGATCTTCTTTTGTCTGCAATTATTGTGTAATTTCCCAGCAGAAGAACCATAATCTAGCTCATTTAAAACAACAAATTTATGTATTAAGTATGCTTGGGCAATTCAATAACATTTTCACCATCAATTCAGCAGCTCTGCTTCGAACGTGTGTGTGTGTGTGTGTGTGTGTGTGTGTGTGTGTGTGTGTGTGTGTGTGTGTGTGTGTGTGTGTGTGTGTGTGTGTGTGTGTGTGTGTGTGTGTGTGTGTGTGGTGCAGAATCTCTGTCAGTATCTGTATACAACCCTGCACAGGATGTACTTGGCCAATCACAAGCAGTATATTTATCCAGACTTATGAACCAAATGTATAGGCTGGTATAGGAGTGACAAGCCAGACTGAGTAGTTAGAAGAACGTTCCTCACACTTTGATTTAACTCATCAATCTCACAAAAGCAGAGGTGTCCTAGTTTCCCCAGCATTTAAGTGCATCGTGCATTAATGAATCTGTGTGGAGCTGAACTGTGGACACATTTAATAACCTGAAATTAAGAAAATGATCACAAATATTTTTAGGCATTAATGACATTAATTAAATCTGAGTTTGTGTCCATAGATCAGGCATTACATTATATTTGCCACCACTTTGAGTCCCGTCGGGTCTTTATTGAAGTGAAACCCAGACACTTGTAAATGCGACAGAGGAGAATTAATCTCTTCCCCAGATGTCCCGGACAGTTTTCATGGAGTCTGTCCAGCGGTGATAAATCTAGAGGCAGAGTCCATGTTTCCGTTTCCATTAGAGCCGTTTGGCTCAACACGTGGTCCTGTCTAATTTTAAAGTGAACCCTTCTTTGCCAGGCTGCCAAAAGGAAAACACTCCTCATTCTCACTGTCTCAGGAACTACCTGTGCATGTTCATGTCTGATGGAGTCATGAAAAGACAAAAAATTGTTAACTGATCATTTGGCAGCTCTATGGGGAGTACCAAGAAAACCAAGGAGGCTCCGGCAGACGGGAGGCCACACGCCTGCTGACTGAGAGGCAGATCAAGAAACATGGGACCCACCACCGCAGCCACGCCAGGACACGGCACGGACATGGGCGCCGTGGCCAAAACGGATACCACAGCCGCCATCAATACAGCTACTACAGCAGGCAACGGAACAGGCGTCAGTCCAATATGGAGACCGATGCTGCTGAGGAGCAAACAGCTGAGCCCGACCTCGCGTCCTCTGTGAAGAAGAAGCGCTCCTACTCCAAGTGTAGAGGTGAGATGAGGCAAAAGTGAAGACAGAAAATGATGCTGTGTGAGTGCCACGTTTAGAGCTTCTGGGATGTGTTGGTTTCTGCAGACTGCATAGCACGAGTGCAGCGATTCCTTGTGACCAGGTTGGGAGAGGACTGGATCTTCCTGGTTCTCCTGGGCATCACAATGGCACTGGTCAGCTGGACAATGGACTACGCCAGTGCAAAGAGTCTACAAGGTAGGACTGTGAAGCAAAAACACGAGTCAGGTGTTTGTGCAAGAAGCACTTTTCTTTCTGTCCTCTTCTAATATCTAACCATTTCCCTTCCTCCCTCTCCTTCTATCCATGTAATTTGGTTCTTTTACTTCTTCTTTTAATTTACTTTGTTTTTGCTTTTTTCTGCCTCTACACTCGTTTTCTTTTCCTCCTTAAATTTCCTCCTGCATCTTCCTCCTGCATCAGCCTATAAGTGGATTCACGGGGAGCTGAGGGGGAACATCCCCCTGCAGTACCTGGCCTGGGTATCCTATCCCCTGATGTTTATCCTCTTCTCCTCCCTCTTCTGTCACCTGGTTTCCCCTCAAGCTATTGGTCTGTACCCCTGTCTTTCTCATGCTTCTGTGTGTTTGTCTACCGTAACGTGTAATCCATAGATTTAAAAGTGCATTTCAAATTTAGTCTGCACTCTTAAATACTGGGACAGGATCAGACATTTAGGTTCTTATTGGTTATGAAATTAAGAAAAAAATAGGGAACTGAAGCTGAGGGAGAACATCTCCAACTCATTTTCTCTGCAGCCATTAAACAACCGATCAACAAAATAGTTTTTCATTCATCTAAACTATGCAATTTTTCACACTTTCAGCCCTTTATGATGCTTGTTTACCAACAGCAGCTTTACAGAGGAAAGTTTTTGCATTGCTATTGTTTTCTGTCTGTTTTCGTTCTCACGGTGTCACACAGTACTGCTGTTTTGTTGTCTCACAGAAAGACACAAGGTTTTCCTTTGGTTTGGTGCCTTGGGACATATGGACGTTTGTAAAAGACCTTTCACATTTGTGTGCAATCAATATTGTGCTTCATATGGTTAATACTGTGGATTTGATTTGATGTCTAAACCTAAACAGCAGGCACAATGAAGAAAAAGAAAGAATCCACCAAGTGAAACAAAGCACAACAAACACACAACATAAATGAACCACAGTCTCCTGGCTGGCAAACTTTTGACGCTTTCTCCAACCTGCAAATGTGGAATTATTTTGTAACTTTTTCCCTCAAGCATCACTAACTAATTGCAAAGGAAAACTTGTAATTATTTCTGCAAGCAGCATTTGACATAAAATGCCACTTGCAGAAATGTTTGATGCCCTGAATGAAAATTAATTGAGAATTTGCAACAAATTATTCAGAAAACAGCAGCACCAAAGCCATCTGAGACAAGTGTAAGGTTAGGAAAGTGTGTCGAGTCATAAAAGGTTCAGAACAGTTATTATTATTTTGTTATATAACCCTTCTGTTCTAGGTTCTGGTATACCAGAGTTGAAGACCATCCTGAGAGGTGTGGTACTAAAGGAGTATTTGACTCTGAAGGCGTTCATCGCCAAAGTCATTGGTCTGACGGCTGCTCTGGGCAGCGGCATGCCTGTAGGCAAAGAGGTGGGTCAGCCCAGATAAATGAAAAAGCTTCTCGTGGGCTGTTTCATTTCATCGAACCATTGCATTGTTTTATTCGATTAACCTTTTTCTTTTTATGCTCCATTCCTGCACTCAGGGCCCGTTTGTTCACATTGCCAGCATCTGTGCAGCAGTTCTCAGCAGGTTCATGTCCTTTTTTTCAGGAGTTTATCAGGTAAGCTGATGTCAGGAAACACTCGAATTTCCCTCTGATTGAATATTCCTTATTTATATGTTGTTTCAATGCTGACTCCTCCTCCTCTCTGGATCAGTAGAATCCATACTGTTACACAGACATCCTGACGGTCGGTTGTGCTGTCGGGGTGGGCTGCTGCTTCGGTACTCCGCTTGGAGGTACACATCCTTTTCCCTGTGCTCCTCTGCTCTCTTTGTCTGACTCATATCCCTCAGGAGTGCATGTAAGACAGTCAGACCTCTGCTTTGGGTATTTTCATCACAGTCTGGTGCACACAGGAAACTGAAATTCAGAGTCAAAAACGGAAAATATCAGAATTCTTATGTTCATCTACAGTCAGTTTTCCATATTGCAGAGGTTTTAAATGTAGATTAGTGTGATGATGGAAGTACACATCTGATACATGACTAATTCTCTGCTCTTTTTTTCTTCTTCCACCAGGTGTGCTCTTCAGCATAGAGGTAACATCTACATACTTTGCTGTAAGAAACTACTGGAGAGGATACTTTGCTGCTACATTTAGTGCCTTCATATTCAGAGTGTTATCCGTGTTTAATAAAGATGCAGGTATGTGTGCAAATATATATATACTACTTTCCAAGACATGAGCTAGAGGGAGCCCTCTCTCCACGAAGCAAAGTGTCATGTCTTTATATGGACACTGACAATATGTGTGTACTGTAGTTACAGCACTCTCCCTCCACTAGATGGCGATCTCCTCCTTCATGTAGCAGCAGAGTGTTTCAGTGCCTCGCTCGCGTCTCCGTGGATGTTTAACCAATCATTTTGCTGTACAAACACATTCCTGTGACTTTGCAGTACACCACATATTAGCTTTGTGTTTGTATGTCACAGTAAATGTGTTATCTGCTATTAGTCTAAGTACTAAAATAACCACAAGCTCCAGTTCATTATTTAAATGAATTGAAATGAAAGCCGAGGGTATAAATTTGGGCACTTTTTCTTTTTCTTCCAGTAACCATCACGGCTCTGTTCAGGACAAACTTTCGTATGGATTTCCCTTTTGATCTGCAGGAGCTGCCAGCATTTGCCATCATTGGGTGAGCAAAGAGAAAGCAAACACACACACCCCCCGGCAAACTCGTTAGGTACACCTGTTCTTTGTGAAGGCATATGTCCAACTCACCAGTATTTGGACAGAAAGTGCATCAGAACAAGGAAAAGCGTGATTTAAGCGACTCAGATTGTGGCAGAGGAGAATGGTCACTCTGCTTCAACCTGACAGGCAGCAGTAAATTAAACAACCACTCGTGACATGCAGAAGAGCTCACCCTGACAGTGTTTGAAACAGTTTGGCTGCAGCAGCAGAAGACCAGACTAGATGCTGCTTATGTCAGCCAATAAACTCACACAGGCTCATCAAGACTGGAAAAATGTTGCCTGGCCTGATTTGTCTCGATTTCTGCTGCAACATTCAGATGTCAGGATCATAATTTGGCATAAAAAACATGGATCCATCCTGCATTGTATGATTGGCTGCTGGTGGTGTAATAGTGTGGGGGATATTTTCTCGGCACACTTTGGGGCCCATGTCTGTCTCTTTATGATCACATAGTGTCCATCTTCTGATGGCTGCTCCTAGCAGAATAATATGTCGTGTTTCAAAGCTCGAGTAATCTCAAACAGATTTCTAAAAGATGACAATGAGTTCAGCCACCAGATTTCAATCTAATAGGACATCATGGACGTGCAGCTGACAAATCTGCAGTAACTCTGTGACATCATGTCAATGTGGACCAAAATCTCTCTCGAAACATTTCCAACATGTTATTGAATCTATGCCATGAAGAATTAAGGCAGTTCTGAAGGGAAAAGGTGGCCCAACCTGGTACTAGCAAGATGCAACTAATGAAGTAGTGAGTAGAGTATGCATGTCTTGGTGCATGCTCAATCATCCAGGTATTTAAATCGTAAAAGGTTGATTCTGTTCATCTGGACGTAGTGTTTTCAGTTCCAGATGAACAGAATCAACCTTTTGGGATGAGAGTATATATGTTTGACCATTTTCACTCTGCATGTCCAAACATGTCCTCAGGGACCAGACTGAAAATGGAGAAAATCAGTTGAATAATAAAAATGTAGTTGCAGCTGTTATTTTATGATTTCCTCTACTCGATGAGTATTTACACAGAGTTTGCTACAGTTAGGTTGACATGAGAAAATGAAGGTGATTGCTAGTTACGCAGTCATAACCAGTTACTTGCTGAGGGGCTGCTGATTTGTTTGAGGCTACTGTGCTTCGTGTGCTGAGCAGTAAAGACGAAGCACCACAACCTTGAACCAGGTGAAGTGTCTTTCATAGATGGGAACGCCAGCGCTCTTTACAGTTATTACAACCAAAACCATCCAGTATAAAAAACCACAGCAAACCATCTGCTCAGAAAAAGCCTAAACATGAAACAGAAACGTCATTTTTCCCTGACATTCATTTTGAAGCTTTTACTACTTTTTAAATTGTAAGTGCAGTGTTGTTCTACACCAGTGATGTCCAACTCCAGTCCCTCAAGGGCCGGTGTCCTGAAACTTTTCCACGTGTCCCTGTTACAACACACCTGAATAAAATTAGTAGGCGTTAACAAGACTCTATAGAACTTGACTGCAGGTAATCCAACCATTTGGATTCAGCTGTGTTGGAATAGGGATGCATCTAAAAGCTGCAGGACAGTAGCTCTCGAGGACTGGAGTTGGACGCCTCTGTTCTACACGATAGAAACTGCATTATAAAGTAAGCAAAATCACCTTTTCCCCCACTGGCCAATGAAACTTCCAGTAGTGCCCAATGTAACGTCAGACACTGGACAAATGTCTTGAGACTATGCTGATATGTATGACAGCAACATGTATATAATAAATGACTTAAGGCTGTAATTAATGAGTGTCCGACTTTCTCTTGGTACAGGATCTTCTGCGGGTTCCTCGGCGCGTTCTTCGTCTACCTCAACAGACAGGTGGTGCTGTTTATGAGAAGACCCAATGCCATGACCCGCTTCCTGACTAAACAGTGAGCCTCTCTTTGCTGTGGCAGCTTTTAATTTACTTTAGCCCATGCTGCCTGTGCCTTACTGTGGGTATTTTAATTACTTTAATGCACAGGTATAATCAGGGTAATTACTGGTGCTTGTTTCGTTCACAGAGCTTTGACTTTCCTTTTGTTTTCCCTCCCAGCCGACTTCTTTTTCCCGCTGTGGTAACGCTGATAATCGCTACCTTGACCTTTCCACCTGGATTTGGACAGTTCATGGCAGGAGAGGTCAGTTTATAGCTTGTTGTCCTGTTTATTATGTAAGCACTATAGAATATTGAATAATTGATTTACATGCTAATTTATTTATTTTAGTAATCATTTGTTTTTACATCAAGAACACAAAGTTTTGGTGTCCAGTAACCATCCTCATGTAGTCGTATACGTATCGTAACCTGAAAGCTTAATCTGAGCTTCTTTGGCCTGAAGTCCACAGAAAGCCGACACCAGTGGTCTCTTAGATCTTCGGTTTCCTTTGGTGCAAAGCATCATCACAGTCCAGTAGCCATGATAAATGTGAGCCTGCTGTGTCCCCTCCACTGATGTCACATCACACAAGTTTTGGGATTTGAAGTTCAGTATTTACAAACCGTGACCTCTGAGTGCCGCAGGGTGCTCCTAACATGAACACTTAGTTTGAGCACTAATGAGAGACAAACCAGCGAACTTTAATCATGCAGTGTAATTAGATTCCAAAGATGAATTCAGTTAAGTTTGTAAAAGGCTGAAAAGTTTTCAGATATATAGAAGTTTATTCACTGGTTGCTTGAAGCCAAATTTCTCTCACTGTTTAGCAAAGTCGTGCAGAAGGCTGGAAAATAATGAGACACCCGAATGCACACATAAGCAAAACAGAGCCTGAGGGCTTGAACTGGCCTGTGGAACAACTCAATCCGACCCCCGATGACCTAAAAGGAAAAGTAAACAAACCACAACCCGTTCATGTTACTGAATATTAAGGAGGATGACTGTAGTGAGTCTATACTGCTTTCTAATTTGATTTCAACATAGGACACGGGTGTGAAAACGAGTGCGTTTCCTGTGATGAGAAATATGACAAGAAAGTAAAAGTTGATTCTCATCTTATTGCATATTTTTCCACTTGGATTCATGGAGTTTGGTGTATTTCTGCTCTCTGTGTATCAATTGGCTCTTTGCTTACTTTATCTAACGCTACATCCACACGTACACAAGCATCTTTTTCTATGCGTTTGGACCTTTCGTCCACACGTAAATGGCGTTTTAGGTCACTGAAAACTGAGATTTTTAAAAACCACGTTATTGTTTACATGAGATGAATTTCTGCAATGGCGGATAGAGACAAAATACTGTTGCTGTTAATCTGACTATCTGCAGTTTTTACATGCTTACATATAAACATGCAGTTACTGTCCGTCCATTTACAAAGACAGAGGCGTCAGAGTGAACTTCTACATTAAACACAGACGCTCTTAAAACCCAAATCCCGACGCCAACATCGGCGTTGGTTTTGAATAAATGTAATTTTTTTAAAAATTGAATGTATGCATGCTGTATGCATTTTGTTCATGCCTAAGTTGTGAGTCTCCACCAGCCATATTTCACAGTGCTGTGACTTATGATTATGAGTCACTCAGAGTGACGTGAAATTTTCAGTTTGTTTCTTTATTGAATAAACTCCGGCCAAGAGACCCAGTGAGACAAAATCCAAAATACTGTCTTTAGTTATTAACACTTTAAATGATGAAAGCACTTGAAAAGTAACACAAAATTAGCTGCCTTTCCAGAAAAACTACTACTTATCAGAAGTACTTAAGGTTTTGTGAGGGCCTGTTTACTCTTTCCCTCACAGGCTTCTAGTCTTCTGATTGGCCAACATTACTTCACGGTTAGGATTTGGCATGTTCTTGACATCCTTTGACTTCATGTTTTGTGTTTACATGTGGACAGAGATGTTTTCAAAACTGTACGTGTGGACAGGATTTTATTTTATTTATTTTTTTAAACAAAAACAGAAAATCTCAGTTTTCAAAAATAGCCGTGTACGTGTGGATGTAGCCTAAGTCAGCATGACTCACTGAGGCAGAAAATGCTACCCATCCCCTCCCGAATGTTTTTAATAATTTATATAAAATTTGGCATATCAGTTTTTAGCCCTGTTGTAAGGTTAACTTTGAAGCACGAGCCACACAGTATGATCTAGTAATATAATGTGAATAACTGTAGTATTATGTTGTGTTTCTTTTGGAAAGCTGTGTCAGTGTTTACGGCTCTTCACTCAACAAAGTCTTGGAGCCCAGGCTTTCAAAGTTCCCCGGCATGGAAAGAGACACCGCGGCCGTCAAACAATAAATATTTTAACATAGATGTTAATGCTCCACTTATGTGTGGCAACAGTTGACAAAATTGGTTGATTTATAGAAATAACAAAGAAAAAAAATCAAGTTTTTCTGATACCCAAAGACTTACTGAGAATGCACCAAACTAACTCAACCTACTCAATAATAAACCAACTCCTGTGTTTTGTGAAGTAAAATTCATGTTTTTCTGTTATACTCGGTCCTTTTCTTTCATGTCTATTTTCATCTCGTACTTAAGCCTCCTGACTCGACCCATGTTCTCCTTCTGCTGATCTCCTTTCTCTCATTTCCTGCCTGCTTGGCAGTTTGTTGACCACGGTGGAGAAATGTATGTCTGCATCTGTTTCCATTTTCATGGGAAAATATGAACTAAGACTCTTCAAGACTTTTGCACAACACTGTCTATTCTGTTTTACCATTTTAGCCTTAAAAACTTGTTTTCCTTATACATCAGAATATTGCACATATCCCTATGTGCAATATTCTGAACATCTTCGCCATATTAATGCACATCTGTGGCCCTGCTGTGTGCAAATGGATTTTCAAGGTAAGAAAAAAGATCAACAGCTCACCCACCCAGAGCTAAAAGCTAATCATGTGTTTCACACGCGCTCAGAATAGACCACTTAGTGTGAACCAGGTATGTGTTTTAATGCATATGTCAGTCAGTAACACCCCAACATGATTCACACACTCGTTGTAGAAATGCGTCACACCTTTTTAATGAAGACACACTGTGGGTTTTAACACAGGCGATGCCTAAATTTTAATCATTTCTCCTCAGGAAAAAGATTAAGTTGGTGAACAGGTCCATGTTTGACAGACACCTCTTCTTTTCCTCAAAGACTTTATCCACACCCTTTGGGGAATGAAATCCTTCCAATCCAACGTGGCAGCTCGGTGCAAAGTGACAGAAGAAGCAACTCACTGAGAGGAGATTAAATGCTACAAGGGTTGTGAACCAGACATGAACCCGCAACTTCAAAAAGCAGCAGGAAAGCCTTTTACATCCGAGCCCTGCAGAGGCCCACAGCAGCCTTTCACAGAACCTCAACAGTTCCACTCACACTTGAAACGGTGGATTTCAGGGACCACGATTCGAGCCGAACTCAAGCAGGAAATAGAAAAGTAGAGAAATCAAAATGACGTTGGTGCTGTTTCTCCCCCCGCAGTGGCGTTATGCAGATGCGGGAGGCGCTGCGTTTTGTTCCTGTGAGCAGTTTCAGAGGCATCTATGCAAATGTGGAGCAAAAACGGTTGAAGTGAATTAGTCATTCATGAGTCATCAGAAGTGAATGACTCATTGGACACGGCCACCCATACCCGTCTGCTTCCAGCCTTCTGGATGACTTCCTGCCTGTTTATCTCAATTGACTTTCTTCCTCACTTCACTTTTTTTCCTCCCTTTTTCCCTCTTAAACTTCTTCCTCTTCTTCCGTGTCCATTTCCTTCTTATCCCTCATCCTCCTTTTAAATTTCACTCCGCCTTTAACCATATTTCCTCCTTCCCTTGCTCTCCTTTCCTCTCTCCCTTCACCGTTTCCTCCTTGTTTTTATTTTTATTTTCACCTTTTTTTGCTATAACTTCCCCCTATATCCCTCTCCTTTTTGACTTTCTCATTAATTTTCAATAATTTTCTCATCCTGTTCTTTTTTTGCTTTACCTTCTCCCCTTGTTTTGTGTAGACGACCTCTTACATATCTTCCCTGTGTTCTAATCCTCTATTTCTTTGGAAAAAACGAGTTTTGTCACACTTTGAAAATGAAAAGTGTGAGGGTACTTTTTATTTCACAGATTTGTGAATGCATTGTTACGTTTGACTGACTCCTGTAAATAAAAAAAACTATAGATGGTGTAATGAAATTGGTCACATTTACTGTAATATGTAAAATGAGCAGGCAGAGTGCTAACACTTGCAATCTTGGTTAGCAAGCTGCACTCATGAACTGCATGGGTGCAAAGGACAAACGCACATATAACACACAAGTAACCATCAAATAAAATACTTGAAGTTTATACAGAATATAGTTTGCAGTGTGTGCCACACGAAAAGTCATCATATTTGTTAGACAGTTGGAGGTTGTCTAAAAAATGAAGGTTGTTACTTGGTGAAAATGATTGACAGGAGGTCCGATTATCAGCTGATTTAACAGCTGATCAAAAGAAGAAAGCTTTGTTAGCCACGCCTGCTGTTTTTCAAGCCAAATTTTAAGTTTGGCAAAACATGGTTAAAGTATAACCGTCTCTGCTGTCGGTTGAAACCACTGCCTGGAAATGATTATGAATCAACTTCAGGGTGTGTCAAAGGTTTTTATTTTATTTTCACAATAATAAACTAATTTAAATCATTTTCCTAAACTTATCTAGTTTTTATGTTATGGTTAATTTTGAGCAGATATCACATTTTCACCTTGATGCAGGTTTGGCTTCACATTTTATTTAAAGTGCCTTTAAAAAGATCTTAAATGTAAATCAGGTACATTTGTAGATATTCTGCTTTTCTCCTCCTGCACCAGTTTCCCCTCTGTCCATCTGTCTCAGAGTTTGTCCCTTCTGCCTCTCCTCACCTCATTTCCCCCTCTGTCCTCTTTCTTTCCAGCTGATGCCCAGAGAGTGCATCAACTCTCTGTTTGACAACTTCACATGGACAAAGATTTCAGGGTCTCCTCCACCGGTCGGTCTGGGCCGCTCTGCTGCCTGGCTGCACCCTAATGTCAGCGTCTTTGTCATTCTGGTGCTCTTCTTCCTCATGAAGGTTTGTGACTGCTAGGAAATTTTGTTTTGTCATCCTTTCTGTGTATTTGTGCGAAGTTGCGTTATGCATCTGCATGTTTATGTGAGATTGTTTGCGACACCGTGTGTGTGTTTGTGTTGGAAGGCAGGCTCCGACTGACGTCAGCATTTTCGTCATCCTCCTCCTCTTCATTAGGGACATTTGTTGCAGGTCACTCATGTTGTGTGTTGGTGAAGGGGACATCTGTGTTTGTCGTCTTCCTTTTCTTCCTGTTCAAGGTCAACAGAGCTGGCAGGCTGCCAACACTTCTAGCTTTCTTAGGTTTTCTTTAGCGCAGCCCCCCCCCCCCCCCCACACACACACACACACACACACACACACACACACACACACACACACACACACACACACACACACACACACACACACACACACACACACACACACACACACACACACACTCAAATCCCAGAGCTTCAGAATTCCCACTGTCTTCTTAGCTGTTTGCTTAAATATTTTATGAGCATAGATGTGTGTGTAAATCCGTTCTAGGTGCTGGGATGACAATGAATCAGCGAAAAAGTTGATGAAACGCTGTAAAAAAAATCCCAGTTTGCACAAAGGTGGGCAAATGTGCACTAGAACATGACAAACAACCCAAATAAATCCTAATAAAGAAGAAACCTGTGATACAGACCAAGGTAAAGTCCTTTCAAAATAACATCAGACGTCTAACAGTTCAAAGGAGCCAAGCAGAGTGATAGGTCGTATAAAATCATGAAATTCAGACAATTAACTGATACAAAGAAACCCTTTGTCTATAAAGCTTGGGGACAATGACTGGTGCAAAAACCAGTGTACAAAGGATAAAAAGATGAACCTGACAGCCGTCTATTGGCCTTGAATACAGATGGCTGTCTGGTTAAAGATCTTATGCAGACTTTGAAATGATCGTTTAATGTCCAAGGCCATCTTTTCAGATTGCTCCCAAGTGCAGAAACTGCTCTCACCCATACAAATTAATGGGCGAAGTCATTAACATCCAGACAATGTCAGAGTAGAGGACAGCAGTCAGAAGGAATTTTGACAACAACCAGACAGGGTCCGAACAGGGTTGAGAATAATTGTGAAAATTATACGTGATCTGAAATCTGAACTGACTCTGGTGTCGTTATCGTCTTCACAAATGATGTTTGGGAGAACAAAGTTGAAGCATTTTCCAGAGTTGTTCTTTCTGGACTGAAAAGTCTGTTCGCAATCAATATATACTTTACTGGTGTTAAAGTGGAGTGTGGACCCTAAATGCAGACGTAGCACATGAACAGACAGACTGTAACTCAAAATGAAGACAATTCAAGTCCAAAAGGCAACTTAATCAAAAAGTCAGGAAAAACACAAAAGCAAACTAACCAGAAACATCACGAGACAGGAAAACTAAAGCGCTGCCAAAGGATAAAAGGACTGGCTGGGCTTACTGTATGTACACACTGAGGATAATGAGAGTTGGAAACAGCTGAGGAAAACACATGAGTGCAAACAGTCTGGGAAAATGAGATGATGGCAAGCAAAACTCAACACAAGGCATGTGAACAAATAACTATCAGTGAAATAAAACGTGATAACTAAATGATGAAACCAGCGACACGAATGAACTTAATACAAGGGAGCTGATACTAAAACACAAAACTAACAATATAAACAAAACTATAACCAGGAACTAAGGAGAGGGAGACATTAAGCAAATGACACGACAAACGGAGAGTTATCAGAAGACGTTAAAAAAACCCTGTAAGGTTCATAAACTCAACATGCTGAGTCAATGACCCAGAACCAAGACAGCTGGTGCATTGATGTACAAGGGCTTGAAACTTACATGTTATTTATACATTTAAAATGTCTCATGAAATAAAATGGACCTAAAATACAATGTAATCTTCAGAGGACACTCGTGATAATGACCTATACCTTTTTCACACCTGTGTGACGCTCGTTATTAATAGTGGGTGAACAACCACCTAAAGCACAACCCCCGTAGGGTTTAAATCCCTGGGACTCCCTCTTGGTTTCAGAAGCCTCTTGGACGAGAGGTGAAACATCTTCAGAGTCTTTTAAGAAGTTCAGCTGCTCTCTTTTCAAGCTCTTACGACTACCATGACCTGGATGACTGAGAATCTACGCAGATATCAGAGCACACAAATTTCTATTTAACTCTGGGCATTTCCAAACAAATCTTTAAAAAAAAAACCTGCAATGCTGTTCTTCCTTTTGAAATGCTGTGACCAGAGCTTCCAAAGTCACGTAATGCTTGCTTTTTTATAAAATAAAAAAAAGCCCAGACAGACAAAGTCTGGTCTCTAAATACTCCTGAGTCATGACCAGCCTACAGTCTGTTGGCTGGTGCAGAAAATGGTGCCAAGCTGTCGATGCCTCCTGTTTGGTGAAAATCTGTGACTTCTCAACAGCTCAGGCACACAGCAGTGTGAAAGCACATTACCATTTCACTAAATACAAAGTACAAACTGCTACATGGAAGTCAGTTCATGTTTGTCTTGGTGATGTGTTATTATGCTATATGTTTCTGTCCACTTAAAACCACAAATATGTTCCTGTTTGCTTATTTTTCTTCAAAATTACGAAGCTTTTTCATGTGAGTCCAGCTGGAGGCAAACGATTATAAAGCCTGCATCTTAAACATCAACACTTGCTGTCACTGATGCTTAAAAATCAATCCAAATAAATAGTATACAGAATGTTTTGTAGCTCTATACATTTCACCATTTAAATTAGATTAATTTTTCTTCAGGAAATTAGGTTAAATTTCCAAGATGACTCCAAAGAAAAGGTATTCTCACCTGTTTCTCTTTGAAGAGCCTCGATCTGTTTTTCTGTCTAAAGTCAAATTAGGCAGTAATGTTGTACAGATAATTGTATCAACAGGATATTAGAGGCTGTCACTCAGCATCATTCACTGCATTGGTTCAGTTATGGTGTTTCTCATTGGAGCAGAGCGGCCCCCTGCAGTGCAAACTTAATTCAGCCAAAACTGAGAGCAGCTGCCTGGTGAAACTCCCAACACACACACACACAGAGGTTTTTTTCCGGCTGCTGTCAGCTTTTCTCCACTACACACTCAAAATCTGCCTTCCTCTTTTGTCCTTTACCTGATTTGACTTTCCGTCGTTGTCTATATAAAAAGCTCCGTGAATGTTAAATTTAAATGCACATGTGAGCGTTGCAAAAGTTACTTGTGACAATAAATAAATGAGCGTAATCAGCTGTATCTTCAGTGAGTCCCTCATCCTGCATAGTTGTTCTCCAGCAGCTCAGAGTTCAGCTGCTTTTGCTAAATGAAGCAGGTTCTCCAAGTTCTGGTTAGAGAAACACTCCAGGTTGTAATGAATATCCAGAAAAGAGCAAGAAATTCTCTCGTTTTCCAAGAGAGTGTTCGACAATTAAACATAACCATCATAACAATAACCTAGGCCAATGGGTGGGTCACGGTGGCAGCATCCTAAGCAGAGAAGCCCAGACCTCCCTCTTCCCGGCAACTTCCTCCCAGGGAAACACCAGTGCATTCCCAGCCTAGAGATACAATCTCTCCAGCATGTCCAGGGTCTGCCCCAGGGCCTCCTCCCCGTGGGACACCTCATCTAGGGGGTGCCCGGAGGCATCCTAGTCAGATCCCCGAACCACCTCAACTGGCTCCTTTGGATTTGGAGGAGCAGTGGCTCTACTCTGAGCCCATCTCAGATGGCCGAACTCCTCACCCTATCTCTAAGGGAGAGCCCAGTCACCCTTCAAAGAAACCCCATTTCCGGCACTTGTATCCACAGTCTCGTTCTTTCAGTCACTACCCACAGCTCGTGACCATAGGTAAGGGTAGGGATGCAGATCAGCTGGTGAATCGAGAGCTTCGCTTCTACACTCAGCTCTCTCTTCTCCATAATGGACCGGTACAGCGTCTGCATCGGGCAGCCGCAGCACCAATCCATCTGTCGATCGCCTGCTCCCTTCTCCCCACACTCGTGAACCACCCTTTTTCGGCTGAAAACCATGGCCTCAGATTTGGCGGTGCTGATTGTCTCAAACTGGGCTGCAAACCAGTCCAGTGTGAGCTGGAGGCTGTCACCTGATGAAGCCAACAGAACCACATCATTTGTGAAAAACAGAGATGAGATTCTGAGACCAAACAAGTGGAAGCCTTCTGCCACTTGCCTACATCTAGAAATTCTGTCCAAAACAGTTATGAACTGTGACAAAGGGCAGCCCTGGCAGAGTCCAACACCTACCGGAAACTCATCCAAATCACTGAATTCCGGTGTTCCAGTCACTTCCACGGACACGGGTGTATAAAATTAAGCACCTAGGCATCCAGACTGCATCTACAAACATGGGTTGCTTTCAAGAGCTCACTGAATTATAGAATGGTACCGTGACAGGATGCCAGCTGTGCAAGTCCAGTCATGAAATTTCCTCATTTCTAAATATTCCACAATCATCTGTTAGTGGTATTATGACAAAGTGAAAGGATTTCGAATCACAGAAACTCAGCCAGAAAGTGGTAGGCTACGTAAAACCACGCGATTAAAAACTATGCATAGAAATGTGATATCACTCGATATCACTGCACATGCATTGACTCACATATCCTGCTTTATCCTCCTTGCTGACTCAACTGAGAATCTTAATTACAACAATTTTAACTTCTTGCAACAACAGAGGTCACCCCCTGCTGGCTTTTAGAAAGAATGCAGGCGTAAAACGCTTCACATGTTATCTGAAAAATGGACATCTTTTATATACAGTCTATGGTAGCACCTGTCTCTGAAGTTTTTTACTTAAATCTCTTTACATTGCTCTGTACTTCTTTCCCTTTTCTCCACTCCACTCTGTATTGGCCTCTCTGAAACACTGAAGCAAACAGAGTGTTTCAACTCCCATTTATCTCGGGATTTGTGACACTGATGAAGGAGCGAGTGCTGGGTGACACTGTGTTTGTATGTGTGAGACTCTCTTTGTGTGAGTTTCTGATTGATTGTGTTTGACTGTCAGGATTAAAAGAGAGCAGAAGACCGAGCGCAGTCTCCTCTGTCATCAGGATAGCAGCCACCCTGTGAAAGACGTGCTAATGAGTTTTTATCTTGTTCCACAGTAATTAAGTTATCAAACGATGATGACAAATTATGTGTAGAATTGGTAATCTGGATGGTTAAAATGGTAATGTAGTGTTTCCCACCAATCCATTTGAATGAAAAAGACAAAGCTTAGCATCTGGTGCCTGGAACAGACAGACTTTCACCCCCGCACACCAAAAATCCAGGCCTTGTCTGAAGGTATTCATTATCACTGATGAGCTCTCAGCACCCGAGTAGAAAGCATATTATTAGGAAAGCTATTTTGGAGTTACTTTCTGATGAATACAGAAATTATTTGGACGCGAACTGTGCAAATGACATTTGAAGGGTGAGTTTAGCTTTAGTTCACCCTGCAGAGGACCGTGATCTTTTCACGCACACGTCGAGTTGGCAGCCACCCAGTGCAGCTACGTCACTATCTACTGCAGCTTCACTGGAGCAGCTGTTGATTAAGTGCCTTGCTCAAGGACACCCAAAGGTGATTGGGTCCCCTTCCTCACAGCATACATGTATACACGCTTTCAAGATTGGCCACTTCTGTAACACAGCAAGCGAATGCCAAATTGGATATTTGAGACAACAAGAGCTAAAAAGGTGCAAAGATGTTCTCCTGTTGCTATGCACCCAACATGTTGGTAGCAGTCTAATTAGTATTAGATGGATGTGCTGCACTGACAAAGGAGATGTATTGAAAATGAAAACAAAAACAAAAAAAAGACCTCATGTGTTTTCTTTTGAACTTGAAGGTTTAGAATTAAATTGTGTGTTTTGTCTGATTGTCTTGTTCAGCTTTTCAAACTCTGAATAGTGCTTCTCATGCTAATAGCTAACGTAATCAAACTTGGTTAGCAAGCTGCATTTATATACTGTACACATGCATCAGAAAAACACATAGCCTACCTGCTAATTAGCGCTAACAGATAAAATACGGAAACTGCCTTCACTGAAACTGAGCTACATACTTCTTAAATGGTAAATTTAAATGCACAATAAGCCATATTACACTCAACAAAAATATAAACGCAACACCTTTGTTACTGCTCCCATTCCCCATGGGATGGACGTAGAGACCTAAAATTCATTCCAGATACACAATATAACCATCCCTCCCAAACAGTGGTCACAAATCAGTCCAAATGTGTGGTAGTGGGCACATCTGCCATATTGAGATAATCCATCCCACCTCACAGGTGTGCCACATCAGGATGCTGATCTGACATCATGAGTAGTGCACAGGTGTACCTCAGACTGCCCACAACAAAAGGCCACCCTGGAATGTGCAGTTTTTTGCGCTATTGGGGGTCTGGGGACCCAGAACCGGTCAGTATCTGGTGTGACCACCATTTGCCTCATGCAGTGCAACACATCGTCGCATGGAGTCCATCAGATTGTCAATTGTGGCCTGTGGAATGTTGGTCCACTCCACTTCAATGGCTGTGCGAGGTTGTTGGATATTCGTGGGAACTGGTACACGCTGTCGTATACGCCGGTCAAGCACATCCCGAACATGCTCAATGGGTGACATGTCCGGTGAGTATGCTGGCCATGCAAGAACTGGGACATTCTCAGCTGCCATCTGCCCTGAACAATGTGAACCATGATTCATCCGTGAAGCGCACACCTCTCCAACGTGCCAGACGCCATCGAATGTGAGCATTTGCCCACACAAGTCTGTTACGGCGACGAGCTGGAGTCAGGTCAAGACCCCGATGAGGACGACGGGCATGCAGTTGAGCGTCCCTCAGACGGTTTCTGACAGTTTGTGCAGAAATTGTTTGGTTGTGCAAACCAATTGTTCCAGCAGCTGTCTGGGTGGCTGGTCTCAGACGATCTTGGAGGTGAACCTGCTGGATGTGGAGGTCCTGGGCTGGTGTGGTTACACGAGGTCTGCGGTTGTGAGGCCGGTTGGATGTGCTGCCATATTCTCTGAAACGCCTGTGGAGACGGCTTATGGTTGAGAAGTGAACATTCAATGCACGGGCGACAGATCTGGTTGACATTCCTGCTGTCAGCATGCCAATTGCACGCTCCCTCATTGCTTGTGGCATCTGTGGCATTTTGCTGTGAGACAAAACTGCACATTCCAGGGTGGCCTTTTGTTGTGGGCAGTCTGAGGTACACCTGTGCACTACTCATGATGTCAGATCAGCATCCTGATGTGGCACACCTGTGAGGTGGGATGGATTATCTCAATATAGCAGATGTGCCCACTACCACACATTTGGACTGATTTGTGACCACTGTTTGGGAGGGATGGTTATATTGTGTATCTGGAATGAATTTTAGGTCTCTACGTCCATCCCATGGGGAATGGGAGCAGTAACAAAGGTGTTGCGTTTATATTTTTGTTGAGTGTATTATACCAACAGCACAAACATGATCCAAAACTACAGTTCATTGACTTTAATGAGTACAGGTGAGGCTAATCACAATGTCACACATTCGTACCCTGATGGATGCATTGGGAGAAACTTGGGGTTAAGCGTCCAAACATACTTCATGGGTATGACATGCAGACTAGAGGAGCCGGGGATCAAATCCCTGACCTTCAAATAGGTAAACGATCTATTCTAACTCCTGAGCCACAACTGCCACAGGTCACAACTGTGGCTGTAAACATATTTATTTCTCTGTAAAGTTTGTAATTTTAGGTATTTTAACATGAAAGTGTAGATTCTAGATCAACGCGATCCTGAGCATCGAGTGGCTGGGTGGAGGAATTTTAGTTTTTGGCACTTTGCATTGGTGTCATTTGGGTTAAAGCACATTATTAAGTTGTGTTAATACAACCTGCCCAGAATTCAGGCCACATGTTCTCAAAAGAATGTCACCGAATGTCTTCTGTAACCAGCTTTTAGAAAAGAATGATTTTAGCACATGCACATAATGTGCAGTATTTCACACGCAATTATTCCTACAAAGGAAAACAAAACTAATGAACCAAAGAAAGTTAAAAATAGACGCACACATGCATCATATGTGCTAAAAATTAAATAGCTATTCATTCCCAGTGTTGTTTTCTGCTCCAAATCAAACTTCAGCCCAATACCACAGTTCGGATTCATATCACTAAGTTATTATGTCCTTGGAGGCTTTATTGTCCAAATGTCAGGCACACACTCATTTCATGAATCCAGTATAGTGTTGTAGGCAGATATGTGAGTTTCCAGTGTGAAAGCAGAGTGCCCTAACATGACTTAAACGTGGTTCACAAGCCAGTATTTCTCCACAGGTGGAGGTGGAGACACCGATAAGAGGCTGAACTGTAAGAAAGTTAAGTCTCATCTGGTTTCTATTGGTTGCAATCGTCAGCTCTGAGTTTTTGGCTAAAAAGGGTTTCATGTTGTCTCTCCTGCAGTTCTGGATGTCTGCTGTGGCCACCACCATGCCCATCCCATCCGGAGCTTTCATGCCGGTCTTCATCCTAGGTGAGTGTTTTGAAGCTTTGCGTTGGTTTAAGTCTTCATCCTCTTTGGTTGTCACTATAAATACTGACTCTGTAAACAGTACAGTTCAGAAACCTTTATCTAAACTTTAATGATTCACACGCTTCGTCAGTGACGTGATGATAATTAATGTATTTTATTTTTAAACTATATTTACTTTTAGCCCCACTTTCGTCCTATAGGAGCTGCATTTGGCAGGCTGGTAGGGGAGATCATGGCCACTCTGTTTCCTCATGGGATCGTGTTTGATGGCATCCTTTACCGCATCATCCCTGGAGGGTACGCAGTCATCGGTTAGTTTCTTGTTTCTCCTCATAGCTTTTCTCCACATGTTTACTCTTTAATCACAGCTATGATCCACCTTAGCAACTAGCCTATTTTTTAGCTTCACATATAAGTCTCACTGTCAAACTGTCCTCATCTTTTTCCCCCTTAACTGTCAGCTTCCTGTGCCCTCAGCTTGTCGGGCGTGTTCCACCCTCTTCCTCTTTCTGTACTGTCACTTCCCTCGTCTTCTTTCTCCTTCAGCTTCTCCTTCTGTCAGCCTCTCTCGTCCTCCAGTCGTCACTCATTGTCAACTTGTCCTCCCCACCTAATCCGCTACCCCACCCCCATTCTTGTCATCTTCTCCCTCCATCCATCCCAACTCCTCTTCCTCCTTTCCATCAGAGCATGTGGTCGCTGTGCTCTGACAGTTAAATGTCACCCTGGGTTTGCTCTGCTGTCCTCACCTCAACAGCTGACCCAGAAATGTGGCCTTTTCTTCAATCCTCGCTCCCATTGGCCTACAAAAGCCCGTCCTTAATTTCTCTCCTCCTTTTCTACCTTTTTTAACCTCTTCTTCTCTTTTATCCTTCTCTCGGTAGCCTCCCAGTATCTCCTTACATTGCTTCTCATTAATCTACTCTTGTGCAGCATGGTTTCCTCTTCCTTCCACTGATTTTCCTTTTCTCCCTCATTCTCTTTGCTCTTTTTTTTAAACATTATCACCCTCATTCTTGATTTTCTTTTTTCTCTTAATTTTATTTTATTTTGAGTCTGTTCCTATCTGCTCCCATCCTATTCTGCTCTGCTTTTCCAGTCTTCCTTGTCTTCTACTTTCCATCAGTATACTTTTACCCTTCCTCCTTCCTGTTACTCTGTGATCCATCTCTTCCTACTGTATCTTGTACTGTCTTTCCTTTGGCACGTCTCCCTTCCCCCACCCTCATCATCCCATCCCGTTTCTCTGGCAGGAGCAGCAGCGTTGACTGGGGCTGTGACTCACACAGTGTCCACGGCGGTTATCTGCTTCGAGCTGACAGGTCAGATCTCCCACATCCTGCCCATGATGGTGGCAGTAATCCTGGCCAACATGGTGGCCCAGGGCCTGCAGCCCTCCCTCTACGACTCCATCATCCAAGTCAAGAAGCTCCCGTACCTGCCGGAGCTTGGCTTCGGACACATGAGGTCTGTTTTCTTTTTACAAGCCAGTTGTGGGAACGATGTCAACAAATTTAATATGATGCCCTCCATAACTCCAGCTGGCAGGGAAATAAATGGTGTAATTGTTGGTGGATAAAAAAACATTAAGAATTACATTTCTGCATAATTAATAAATGTTTGCAAGAAAATAAAAGAAAGTGACAAAAAGAGGTTTCCAGTTTACCCCTTCAGATGAGGAAACCGTACAATTATAAAGGACCCTCAGCATGCAGAGATGCCATGCAGCTGAAACATGTAATTTGTGCCTCTTGGTAACGATGAAGGGTAATTTTCTTGTACAGTGCTTTCTAAAATTGTGTAGCAGTTCCATCTTTGTGTATCTGTTTCACAGCCAATACAACATCTTTGTAGAGGACATCATGGTGAGGACGGTGAAGTTTATGTCGTCTCAGTCCACATACCGAGAAGTCAAACTCCTGCTGGACTCCACTTCACTCAAATCGATCCCCCTGGTCGACTCAAAAGGTAAACAGACCGATGAAGCGCCTTCCTTGCTATTTCGACTGGGGATTATAGAGATCAGGGTTCGGCAACCTTTAACACCCAAAGAGCCATTTGGACCCAGTTTCCACAGAAAGGAAAACACTGGGAGCTGGAAATACTTTTTGACATCTAAAATGAAGATAACACTGTATATATTGTTTGTTTGTTTTTACCTTTATGCTTTCTATAAACAACTATAGTGTGTTGCGTATGAAATCCACAAAGTGCTACAGAGAAAATAAAATTTTATTTATGTAATGGACACAAACATTTTAAACTCTTAAAAAATTATAACAAAAAAAAGAAACATGCCGAGTTGAAGGTCTCTTTTAAATGAATATAAAGCTAAACTTAAATTATCCATTTACCAAATAAAAAATGTTGTGAGCTGTCATCCTTATGTCGCCTTTGGGCTTTCGGAGACTGTAGCCGAACCTTGACCTGAATTTAAAAAATAAACTGGAAAAAATGCTACTAAACAATGAAAAATAAATATTTGCATAAATATTTATTTTACCTGGTTAATGTGTGTAGCGGAGCGTGGTCTGCGGTGCCGCTGCAAGGAGGCGGATGCACCTGAGCGGCATCCGAAATCATGCCTCGTGCTCTCTCTGCTGTTGTGTTGTTGTTGTTGGTACGTGTCAGGCTGTGAGCTGGAAAGCTAAAGCCAGCTGCATGTGTGCAGCAACTGTGTGTGAAAAGTGGTCAATAAAGAGATGCTGAAAAGCGTGTTCATGCAAACATCGTCGGGTCTGCCGTAGTATGTTTACAATGGGACTTCTGCTCCTGAACCTCTGCGCACAGCGTCTGCAAATCGGGGCTGTACGAGTCACTTTCAGCTTTACGCAGGACTGTCGTTGGTGAGGCGTGAGCTGTGTTTGTTTTTAACATAGTTCATGGTGGAGAACAGCTGCTCACATACGTATGTGGATCAACAATCCACAAATCAGGCATGCTGGTAGGCTTCTCACTCTTGTCAGAAGTAAATGCAAATGAATCTGCCCCGGCATCAACAAATGTTCTGTTTTCTTCAGATATTTTTCTTTTCTTACATTTCTCCATACTTGGCCTACCTGGGGTTGAAAGTCTCAATAAATGCACGACGTTTTGGAGGGTGTACCAGCTTCCGTGAGTGTGACGCTTATTTTGAGCAACAAAAAATAATAAAATATAATTTTATTTTAATATTTCAAGATAAATCAATAATTTTCCAGTCTCGAACTGCAAGTTGAAAAAAAGAACTAACACAAGTAAAACACACTTCTGTTAAATAGTTATAATTTATTTTCCCAAGCCACGCGGAGCCGCAGTTTAATGTTGGGCCACGGGTTGCCGACCCCTGATGTAGATAAAATAGAACTGGATTGGATGAGTGGATGAGCCAACAAAGTGTCTCACAGAAATTTGTTTGGTAATTGAAAGAACACAAAGAGTTGCTGCTATCACATTAAATACAACAGTATCAAATATAGGTATTTAAATAAGAGTACTTTGCATTTTTAATGGATTTTATAGGAATCATAAGGCATCGTGTTATTAATAAAATTAACATTTGTTTCTCTGCTTCCAGATTCTATGATCTTATTGGGCAGCATTGACAGGGTGGAGCTTCTGGCTCTCTGTGATTGGTGGTTGTCACCAGAAAGAAGGCTCCTGATGCAGGTGAGGACAGTCACAGGGCAACCACCAACTTAACAACCACCAAAATTTGTATCTGGGACATAAATTGTTCACCTTACACCTAAATCCAGAATGAAGAATTTCAAACAAGCCGTGCAGATCTGGTAAAACTGCCCACAGGGTGGGTTTTTGCTACTTTCCATAGTTTTAAAGAGAAACACAAGTAAAGTTTTCTCAGTTTTACTTCAAGCTGAATAACAATGATGCATTTAAATGATGCAGAACATGTAAATGATTGTTATAAATACCTTGTGGAGCGCTGCTGTGTACAAGCACGATTTCATGTATAAACACAGGAGCTAACATCCTGTGGATTTACTGGGTTTTTTTTGAAGCACTTTGCTCCCTAAAGCAGATGTATAATTTATAACTAGTGTACAAACATGGTTGTTAATGCAATAATTCCATTAACGTTTTACCGAAATTACATAATGTTGAGTTTACAGCATGACATTGTCAGTGAATTAGCTGCTCGAGCGCCTCTCGAGTTCAGCTGAAGCTCTGTGTATTCATGCAGAGGCAGAGCCTGAAGCCAGACATTAAAATAACAAGTGTTTACAATTGTTATTTATTTGGGGCACTGAAAAGTCAGCTGGTACTGAGCAGAGTGAAATCTAAAACTGGAAAACATTATGGAAATTATGAAACATTCTAGTAATCGCTGTGTTTTTTTATGTGATGGTGTTAAAAATCTCTCTGCTCGTTTTTCTTGATATAAAAATGAACATTTTTGGAGAAGAGTTTTCCCATGAAATCACCAATAGTACCAATCTGTGGTCTACCAATCTAAGCCAAGTGATTCCCACTGAAGAACTTTATAATGATGTTTGATATTATCACACTATTATTAATGTATTATTATTACAGTATTCAGCATTATTAAGTGTTTCATTCATGCAGACATGTTTATCCTCTGTTACTGTCACACTATGTAAAGCTATCACTGCAGTGCTACCACATCACTGCTATTAACAATCATAATTATAAACATAAGATACCTTAATAATGCTTACTAGTGTGACATTAGTATGTAGTCCTAAAATTATTTCTGATGTTGATAAATATCTTAAAACAGAAATTAAATATACTCAGTCAGATGCTGGAAAGGAAAAAACATGGAGACTGAACCTTGACTGTGTAAAAGATATTGATTTTGTAGTGAGTGGAAGACCTTCTGTACAGTAATGATTCACCTTAAAAGCCCACAAGGAGAACTCCGTGTCTTGGATTTGCTAACCCATTCAAACGGGTGAGGTAACAGGACTTAAAATAAAGAGCAGGTGCTAAAACAACATCGACGTTAAGCAGTTAGATTAGATTTAGTCTGGCGCAGGTACAGCACCGCTCTGTTTTAATGTGTTTGTCTGGATGTGAGTTCAGGGTCGCTGCCTACAGGAGCAGAACCAGTCTCAGAAGCACAGCTGGGAGTCCTTCGCCTTCGTAGATGAGGAAGAGGAGGAGGAGGAGGAGGAGGAAGAGGAGGAGGGAGAGAAGGTGGGCGTTTCATTTAATATATTCATAGGGATTATTCCTTTATTGTGTATGGGTTTTCTCTCTGTAGCTGCTTTCCTCAGTTTTAATTTGTTTAACGTTTAAGTGAAAGATTGACCCCAGTCATAGATTTATGCCAATTGTATTCAGCGTAAATATATGCAATGCAAATTCCTCTGTGTTACAGTTTTCCTTCCAAATTTAACTGAAGCTATCAGCAGAATGTGAAAAAGCAACGACTTTGACTTAATGTCCCAAACATCTGTGCACTGTGCTGAAGGAATATCAACTGAATGTGAATTTAGTTCCATAAGATGGTGCAGAGAGTAAATGTAACTTTTATTTTAATCAGGCAAGTGATTAAAAACTCGATTATGTTCAATGGCTTTTGGGAAGATGCACGACCTTTTGAGCTCATTTGTTTAGGTCTAAAAGAATATAAGGAGTTAAAAGACCAACATCCGAAAATATTTCAGAGCATCCAGAGGTAAAACGCTGCCCCCTGGTGGTGAGGAATGAAGTTATTATTAATTAGATTTTGCACTTACAAAAAGTACCTTTAAAATATTGCTGCTTGTCCCTTGCATTAAATCCTAGTTTAACCTTTACCACTTGGTCTGCAGGTTCTTTATTAATGCTAATTTCCTTAATAACACGTGGCCGTCGTCTGCAGGGTAGTCCAGTCCAGGAGGAGAGGAACGGTCCCCTGCCTCCTCAGAAGCCCCAGGAGCCTTCCTCAAACCACACTGCTCCTGCTCCTGGTAAGTTGAGAGGATTACATATTTATGAGAAAACATAAATATTTAATATTGGCAGAGGTGTAGTAGTCATACATTATCTCTAAACATGACTGTGTATAAATTTCTCACCCTTACAGCTGCTTCAGAGGAGGAATATATTACCGTACGCCGAATATTAAAAAAGGATGAACAATTTCTTCACCTTTTTTGTCTGTTATTATTGTAATAATGTTATTCTTATTTGTAATGGTGGTCTGGGTAAAGCAAAGCAGCACACGTCCAAACATTTTAACACATCGTGTATTCGGAGGGTGATTCTTTCGCTGTTGCCCAAGTTTCTGTTCAAGTTCAGCATAGGGTTAAAGGTCAATTTTATCTAGACAGAAATCAGATTGCAGAAGACAATTACAATTCCTGATCTCTCTTCCTTAGCTCGGTTACACCCGTGGAGTTGTGCGGCATGGAGGCGAGGCTGGGGAATGAAAGCCTTATGGCTCCTGTCACAGTAATATTGATTCTTTCAGACAAGTTTTGCTCACTAGGATGATGTAATGGGATTTATTCTTCGCTATGTCTCCCCTTCTTCTCCTTGAAAAAAAAAATCTCCTCTGATATGACTAAGCATTTAGTCACATCCCAGATGGTGTATGAGGCTCACCAGGTTCTCATATCTGCTGAGCAGATTACTGCCCAGAGGACACAAACACGTCTTATTGGTGCTCGTGAAGTATGAAAAGGGGGACCCATCAGAATTAATCAAATCATAAGGAACAATGTGATGTTACACAACGTGTAAACAGCAGTGGCAGCATTAATGCTAATCCAAACACACAGGGGTCAGGAGGAACGGCCCTCTGAGCCGTTTTTAGCAATAAAGCAGTTTAAACAAGTTAAAGACATCACGCAGGGACTGAGCTTCTTACTCTTATAACACTCACAAAGATGGTCACACTTTGAATTGTTCATGTCATATTTATTTGGGAGGCTGAATTAGGACTGAAGCTGGTCTTTGCACTGATCATAGACAGTACAAAAGCTGCAATTTTGGGAAATCCGAAGTAAGAACTTCAGTTTAACACACAGTTCAAAATGGTAGCTCCATTTCTGCATCTCACAGGCACATTCGAATAAAAGTTTAATTATCCCACTTGGGAGGATTTATTCAGGAGTCTTCAGAAAACAAAGAGGTGAACGCACAGCAACAAACACCGTCGAGCTAAATGTGAAATGAAATGAAAAACATCTATAATAATAATAATAGATGACTGGAGAAATTGTTATAAATAATATTTACTTCAAATTGAAATTGAAAAGGCGGTGCAGGTTTTAGTCGTGGAACTGCTGACAGAGTGAGTCGTTTAACACAACTGTTAATACATGAAGCCAAAATATGTGTTGCTTTTAGATTTGTTGGTTTAAAAAAAGAGTTTACATAATTTGTTAAACAGATTTCAGCTTTTAATGGTGCTTTTTGAGCCTTTTATCTGTCTTTAAACTGGAGCTGTTATGCTCAGCTTCCCTTTTTTATTTTTAAACTATAATAAAGGTGTTTTGTATGTTTTACAGTTTAAAATAATAATTTTCTGCTGGGATGTTTGCATCCCCTCAGTTCCCCCACTTCATGCAGCAGACAGGTGGGATATATTAGAGATATCCCTGTTGGACATAAAACAGATCCATATTTTTTCTTCTGGTTATTGTTAAGGTTCAAAATATTGGGGATGGAGACAAGAGCAAAAACCACAATAACAACACTGGTCCGGCCGGGTTGAGTCAAACGATGATTTAATGATCACACACGTGGGAGATGGACACTGATGCAGACAGCCTCAAAATCTCAAAATGGTGGAGCATTGCTCAAACTTTTATAACCTCTGGTGCCTCCACCTTATCATAAAAAGCCTAAACATTCACATGCTCTCTCTCACACAGCGCCTGAGCTACGACCTTGGCTCCCTGTTTATCTGCTCCTGCTGAAATGTGGCAGAAAACTCCAGCACACTCTGTTCTCTTCTACTCAGACAAATTAGACAATAACCTTCTGCGAACAGTATTTCTTATAACTCAGCAATATAATGCATCATAAAACAATATCATTCATTCACAACAAGTCAGCAGTTTAATGTAATGCAAATCAGTTTAACTAATGCAATAGTTATCAGCTTCTTCTAATTCAGGAGAATAATGCAAACTAAAACTACATAATAATTCACAATCTTTAATTAGGGGTATAACATGGCATAAAATAATATCATAATTTTACATTATCCAGTTTAGTGTCACAGCGGGTTTTTTCCTGTCCCACCTGTCCAGGGTGAGAAGTGGGATACAGCTGTCACAGAGAGACAGACAATTATTCACACCTACGGTTAATTTACAATCTAATAACCACCTAGCCCCACTTATGTCTTTGGACTGTGGGAGGAAGCTGGAGTACCCCGAGAGGACACATGTAGAGTAATGGACGTCGTTAAGGATGCCATCAAACAGGGTGGCTTTGATCTCTCCTCCAGTCTGCCACACAGTCTCTCACTGACATGATCGAGTCAAAAGTAGGAAAAACAGTGTTTAACACAGTCTGAAGCTTTCAGGTCAAATGGATTACTTACAAATAATGACCTCATTGTTTGAACTGACCATGTTTAATATAAGCATCCATAATTTTAACTGTGTGTATGTATATATGGCAAACAATTACAAAAAAAGCATAAAAAGTCCACTTAATTTTAGTTGGCTGAGAGAAGAGAAGCGGTAAAGAAGATGAATTCAAGATAGGGAAAATGCAATGCATATATATTCTAAAGCATTTTGCAGATGACTCACGTGAGAAGAAATGCACAGGCTTGAAGTTGTCCTTTAGGAGTTGACTGCACTTCAGCACAACAGTATAATCTTTGCAAAGAGTCTGTTTGCTTAGTGAACAGAAGTCTGTGCATTATTCCTGTTGTTTCCAGTAATTTGATACATAAAAATATACTTTATGCATTAAAACGCAACTTAAAATGTGTTTTTTGCAGCTTGCAAAACCCTGAATGCAAATTTGTTAAGTTCACGAGAAAGGCTTGTTTACAGAAAGATAGCTGTGTTTGATCATTAAATAACTCAAGGCAAGCCTAGCTTTACCTGTAACATATTTATTTTCTCCATCACATGTTGGTGAGACTCCCGATGGTGACAAACCAGAAGACTCCCCACTAAACTCAATCATGCCCTGCAGCAATAAATATGTTCTTCTAGCTTTTTAAAGGTTAAAGTTAAACCTGTCTACTCTTTTTGTTAGGTTACCAAATTGACTTCAACATGTTCATTGCTGCCCTCAACAGATGTCAAATGTTTGGAATTAATAACTTTGCAACCCAAACAGCAGTGAGCGAAGGTTTGGCAGCTTGTTCACTCCAAGTATCCAGATGGTGTCTGTGCCTATTGTGGCACAGCAAACTGCTCAGTAGCCCATCAAACATAACAAGAGACAGACAATGTCCCAGTGAAATGGTTTCCAGGCAACAACGAGGTTTTTTTTCCCTGCAGTCTCTAAAAGTCTCCATTTACTCTTGAGTTATTTTCTCCAAAGCTGCATTTGTATAATTTATTGACCTTTTACCCACTGAGTCTCCTTCTCCACTCCTCCCTCAGAAAAAGGTTCTCTGCAGTCTGTGAGGAAAACACTCAGGAATATCTTCACCTCTAAGAGCAGGCAGACAGAGGGCCATTCTCAGGTGTGTCTGCACGTCTCATTGCATGTCTAGTGCGTGTGCTCTCATGCATCATCTGCATTAAATATGCTTCACATCTCCACTCTGTATGTCACGTCTTTGTAGGGTGGGATGGTTTTCTACAATAATTAATTCGTGCATTGCTCTCGGTCTCATGTTTTGTCCTTTCTGCTTAAAAGACATGATAGATACAATCAAACAAAGGAGAAAAGATTAAATTCTGTTTAAATATGCAGTAATTAAACCCCTCTTTCACGCAGGGCTATTAGACAAGGCATGACACCTTAATTCAATGCAGTATCATCTCTGTTGTCACATGGAAACCACTTAAGAGAAATGTGAGTGGCTATTTTTCTTTTTACTGCAAAGGCAAGAACAGTCATGTGAACCTCTGAGAGCAGGCAGACACGTTCAGGTGTGTCTGCACTTCTTATTGCACACTTCAGCAGTTTGTAAAACCAGCTTTACCAGTAATAACTTTTTCTGCATGACTTTATCAGCCTCTCACATTGCTGTGGAGGAGTTTTTGCCCATTATTCTTTAGAACATGGTGCCAGTTCAATGAGGCCATGCACAGCTCTCTCCACTGCATGTCAGTTAGGTTGTGGTCTGGACTTTGACTGGGCTGTTGCAGCACCTCAATTCTTTCCTTTTTTGTAGATTTGCCGGTCAGTGTCGGCTCATTGTCCTGTTGCATGACCCAATTTCCTGGCAACCTTTCCAAACAGGCCATGCTTGTTCAGGCTTTTGTGCTGTCATGCACTGTAACATTCAACATGCTAACTGAGGCCTGTAGAGTCTGGGGTGTTTGCTCAGATGTCGGCTCCTGGGAGGATTGCGGCTTTGTGTTAAAGCACACCTATATGCCCCTAGACGTGCAAACAGTCAAAACTTATTTATATTAGATGATGATTTGTGTTGGAGTCACAACTCAACAATAGTAATATATTATATATTACTCATTAATTTTTTTTTTAAAGTAATGCAGTATGTTACTTAATTAGACACCAGAAAAAGTGACCCACTACATTCCGTAACATGACATGAATCGCATTTTCACAAAGTTACCAGTTAACGATATAAACCTGAGGCTACAGTTCCACACACTGACAAAAATCCCTTTTTTAAAATAGATTTTTCAAATGCAAAGTTGAAAACCATCCAAAGGGACTTAAAGCTACTGCCGCAGTGATTCTACTGTACAAACATGCACAGTAAAAACAATGGAGGCTACAATGCTGCAAGCATGGCTGCTCATCACTGCCTTTGTTACCTACTGAAGTTGATGTGATCATTGTTTAGTACAATAATGCATTATGTAACTGCATTACTGATTACAGTAACATGTTACTTTTGAGCACATTACACCCAACAGTGCTGATGTTTAATAAATCTAGTTCATCAGATTAGCTGCACCTCACTGTTACTTACCCTCTTAATTCCTATGGAAGCAGTTAGGGTGTCTTTATTTTTCACTGAACTATATATGTAGACATGAGGGGAGAATCTCCTTTCTCTGCTGTCTTTCCCCGAACCCTGAAATCTCTTGTATTATATGGCGTCCCATCCCTGATCCTGGTTCTGCCAGAGGTCTTTTACAGACTTCTGCTGACTTCTTTTTTGCCTGATGTAGGGTATTGCCTGCTTGTCACATAAATAAAGCCAAAATGAATTAAATCCCAGCATCTTTGTATGTTTCTACATGTCTGTGTATTTAATGCCTTTGTAAGCCTCTGCGCTCTTTCCTCCAGCCAGCTAATTATTAAGCTGTGTCAGGAGTGTAATTTTCCCATGTGTCGCGAACCATTCAACGCTTTCTCTAAAAGAAAAATTCCTGAAACCACATCTTCCAGGCGAATGGAAGATCCAGTCTGCTTTCTATTCAGGCAGATGCATGCTTATCTGATTGACAGAAGCACATGAATTCACGTCTCATCCACAGGAAAACTCACTGAAGTCGAGCATCTTTCTCTCGCTCGCTCTCATGGAAATGCAGATGCTGGTGGCAGAGTCATTATATTCAGCTTGGTGGTGATCTTGGCTCGCAAGGAAGGCAGTACATGCAAGAATGAAAACCACACTGGAAATAAGCATATGCTTGTGAACTGGCAAGATTAGAATTTGATTTGTGTTGTGCCCACTGCTGTGGCTGGTGAATTACCAGTCTGACTCTCTATTATGTTTTTGGATTCAATCCTGTTCCTCGGTGGGGATTGTTTTTACATCAGCCACACTTCTACAACCATGAATATCAAATAGGCACACAGTGGGATGCTGCTACCAGCAATCAAGCCAAACTGAGGCTGGATTCTCTCTGTGACCCAGGTATTGTTTATTTTACCAACTGCCGAGTGCAGGTAACCAAACAATGACCTTTAGGACAACATCTGGCAGGTGTAATAATATTAGCATGCTGCTAATCCTTGAATAAAACAATAGTTATACTTTCAGTGATAAACTATAGACTGTATCTAAAAGACGGATCTAGCCACAGTGCGGCGATTAGCATTCTGAAGCCTCAGCTTTAGCTTCAGGGCTGTTGCCATCTTTGTTTCATGGTTGGAGAGGGTTGCTAGGTAACCAGTGAACACCATTAAGCTCGGAAGGCACTTGTGTATGATTTTCCTCACTTTTCTCCGTGCTGTCTCCTGTATGTAGAAGAGAAGTTTAGCTCCAGCCGCCTTGAATTTGTATCAGTGAGCAGGCCTCGCATTTCTGATTGGGAGACGTGCTTATTTATTGTAATGCAAAGAATTGCATAGATTTTATATGTAATTACATAGCACAAAAACATCACTTGGTGTTTTGTGTCTATGCACCATAAGACAACCAAAGCTGTGATTCTCCTGATATCGCTGACAAACCACAGCTGGAGGTTTTTGGTGCAACTTTGCTTTGATGTAGACAGACAAAATATGAGGTTAGCTTAGCGAAAAGTGGGCAAAATCATAGTTCAACTTACTCCATCTTAGTCCATCTCTTCGTTCTGGCTGTTAGGGTTAAAAAAAAAAACTTGTCTTCAAAAATAAAGCACCAACTCCACAAACAAGGTGGGGAGTTGTTGTTTAGTGCAGGTCAAACCCAGCAGCTGATGCAGCTCCAGCCCTTCAGTCAAAGCAGTCCTGCTGCTAATAAGTCAGTGACATTTAAACAAAATTCATCTGTCATACAGTTGTAGTGAAGTGAGACTTAAAAACGGACACCAAATGACTTCCCAGAGCTCGTGACGATGGTGAGGGCAGGACGGTAGACTGAATGCTAAATCGAGAGCTCCACTTTTATGCTCTTGTCAATCTCACGCTCCACTCTCCCCACACTCGTGAACAAGACCCCGAAGTAGTAACTCGTTCCTGACCTGGAGTGGGCACTCCACCCTCTTCCAGCTAAGGACCATGGCCTCAGATTTGTCTTTCCTATTGCTTTACACTGAGCTGCAAACCACTCCAGGGTGACCTCCATGCAATTTTGCGTAGGCGTGTCAACCAAGATAGCTCTACAACATCCAAAGCCTTCAGGAACGCAGGGAAACTCTTATCTACCCCAGGGGCCCTGCCACCAAGGAGTTGTTTAACTGCCTCGGTGACCTCGTCCCCAGTGATAGGTGAGTTGTTCCCCTATCCCCCAGACCCCGTTTCCTCTACACAAGATGTGTCAGTGGGATTAAGGATCCTCAAAGTGTTCCTTCTACGACTTGACTATATCTTCAGTTGAGGTCCCAGTAACACTGTATGCAGTTTGAGTAGAGCACCACTCCCCCCCCCCCCCCCCCCCCCCCCCCGAGACATCTGATGTTTACCAGAATAACTTTGAGGCTAATCAAAAGGTTTTTTTTCCCCATGGTTTCACCACACTGCTACCACATCCAAATTATTGTGTCAGCCACTGCCAGAGCTGCTCTCCACTTGTCCTGCCAGTACCTTTCTGCTCCCTCTGAAATCACACAAGGCAACGGAGCGCATTTAGAGTCCTCCTTCAGTACAAAATCCATCCACAGACATGCAAACGCACGTTGAAGCACCCAAAACTGGATGTTTTGATTGTTCCTGTTGCAGAGTGTGTCTCCAGGATCACATTTTGCCACAATAACACACCCACAGAATCATATTGTTTCCACAAGGTGAAAGCAATATTAGCTCTGCGATCGCAGCTAGTAATAAATTCAGTTTCACAAAACAGGTCGCAGCAGGTGTTGGCCTGAATTTCACCTGCTGCATTCATTTAACTCACAAAGCTGCTGATGTGCTGTGGGAGTGAAACACGAACACAGGAAACTGGATGACAGAAGCCTGAAAACAAAGAGACAGACAGAAATCTAATGTGAGACTGTATAGAGTTCAATACATTCATTTTAAGAGTTATGAGTAGTTTGAAATGTGTGTTTGCCTAATATTCATGGTATGAAACAGGTTTTCTTTCAGTAGCTGGTAGTTTCCTCCCCTAATGTAAGATTCAGATGAGCTTCTAGAGTTAGAAGCAGAGGTGTGGACTCGAGTCATTAATTTTATGACTTTAGACTTGACTTGAAAAAATGTTCTAAGACTTGTGACTTGACTTGGACTTTTACACCAATGACTTGGGACTTGAATTGGACTTGAACCGGTTTACTTGAAAAGACTTGATATTTTACCCCAAATACAAAATTTAACATGCATATTATATAGAGATTGAAAATGTGACGTCATTCACAGGTAGAACCGCAAAGGATTCTGGGAACTCGTGGCAAGCGGTACTAGCACACGCAGGCTTTCAATTAAAATCAGTTATACAGCGATAAAAAGAAACACAAGAAGCCGTTGTATTATTAACTGCAATAGCCGGTCGCATGACAGCCACGGGAAGCCGACGGGTAAAGAGATCGGTTGTTATCGGATTACGTCGTTGAAGAGAAATTGTTCGAGCCATGTTTCCGAAGTAACAAAGACGCGACGGATGGCCTGGATCGCAGCCATTCAAAGATCAAATATAACGTCCCAGAACACTCCAGCTAACAGGTTAGTCTGCTCCAAGCATTTACACAAAGGTCAGTCTGCTGTTGTAGTTAATACGTCATTTTTCTTAACATAATTGGTGATATAGGTTACAAGCAAGTCTGGCGCTGAACAGAAATTGTCGCGCTATGCTCCTTTGTTTATTGTGCATAAATAGTGAATTGTCCTGACACAATATTGCGTTTCGCTTCTGTTATTATGGTACATTGACAAAAACATATACTTTTATTCACAGGATAAAACAGGTTTTTGTATCACTAATTGCCCAGTACGATTACAGCATACAATATTGTTGTCACTGCTACATTTCTGTAACGCGTACCAGAAATTATTTCCACTACTAATTAATTACCGTTGAGCTCAAAGGTCCTATTAATAAACGGTTAACGAATGTGTATTTATGACGACAATTTGTGAGACTGGTAAACTTATGATACGTACGATGGTCTTTACTTTCTACACGGTGCATTTCAAGGTCCTGTACCCATCCGTCGGTAAACTGTACCTGGGCTTGTTGCAGTGACCTGAAGTTACTAAACTTCATGAGTGTATGCGCTCACTCCAAGAACCGTATGATTATAAATATGCATATAAATATGCTACGATGAGATAGCTGACTTCATCTAACTAGCAAATGTTTTCCAGGCTACGTTGGTGATACAGTTTTTTTTAATGTGTATGATATTTTTGTCATGCGATTTTAAAGCTGGTCCTACAACCGCATCCAAGAATAACATGCAGCGTATCTCAGAAATGTCGGTGAAAATTATTCTTGGAGCTAGGTTTAATTGAGCTGCATTTTAAAGAGATGCAATTTCACAATTTGTGTATATTTTCTAAGTTCACTATTTTGTCATGTGTTGAGAAAAACACAGATTTTAAAATTACATGGTCTAATATTTACATTTAGCATATAACTGCAACATTATTTTTTCGTTGTTTTTTTTTTTAAGACTCGAAAGGACTTGAAATTCAAAGTTTCAGACTTGTGACTTGACTCGGACTTTTACACCAGTGACTTGAGACTCGACTCTGACTTGCCTGACATTACTTGAGACTTGACTTGAGACTTGAGGATAAAGACTTGAGACTTACTTGAGACTTGCAAAACAATGACTTGGTCCCACCTCTGGTTAGAAGTATCACCACGACCTGTTTCAGAGGACAGGGTGTTTTTATAAAATCACTCCAAATCATTTCTCTTCTTTTCCCTGTTTTTTCGTCTCCAGGAGCCTTGTCCTCCTCCGCTGTCAGACACAATGACACCAGAAGAGGTACAGTAATGAAGGATTTGCATAATTTTACAGAATAGTCTGCTGAATAATTTTAAGCATGCTATTTGAATGCTTACTCATAGAGCAAGTGCTGAGTCACAAGACATTATCCCACAAAGTGGGAGCAATAATCTTTGACAGCAGGTTTTTGTATTTGCAAGTGATGCAAGAACCACGCAGGCTTCCTGGGGTCATTAAAAGCTCAAATATTAAAAAGTGTTTAAAAAGTCTTATTTGTACTACAGTACAGTAGCAATTGGCCAATAAGATTAATCTTAAAATCAGGGTTTTTTTTTAGGTTGTTGTTGTTTTACTGTTACTTTATCTGTGTTTCTGTCTTCGGTACAGGTTAACACAATGGGGTCTAACTCCTCCATGAATAAAAAATAAAAAAATAAAAATCACTTTTTGGTATTAAAAAATGTAAAACGCAAAACTATTTCAGAGGAAAACTTTTGATTGTTGTCTCTCCATAGCATTCAGGTCCACAAAAAAGTCTCAAAGTCTCCAAAACACACACAAACTGCTCCACTTTCCTCCTCCTGCCACTCGAGCACCTTAAATGCTCATTAAGCTTCAGTGTTTGCTGGCAGGGAGCCTGCAGGGACAAACAAGTATATTATGTTTTGCACATTGATTTGATTTTATAAAGCCCAGTAGGCTTACAAGACTCCAGTAACAGCAAAACAGAGCCAGATAGTAACACAGATAAAGAATCCAACCTGTCTAAAAGCAGCTTTAAAGATGATAAAACAGCCTTTCTTTCTGTCTGTGCACCAAAACATTTCTGAATTCATTAAACATAAAGTATATATAAACTCATCAGAATAACGGGAATTATGGAGATCAAAGAGTACAACCGAACATGTTTGATTCCTTTTTATATTTACAGGTTAATTACCTTAATGTTTATGTTTTGTGATGTATATTAAGAGCTCTATAACCCACTGGAGACTTCCTCCAAAGAAAAGTCCATTTAAATTTAACAGGAGGCTCCACAGTCTGATTATTTCACCATCTTGCTTTATTGATGACGGTGATATGGGAATCCATCCTATTCTGTATAGATTATACTGTTTTACGTCTTTAACACAGTACCACTGTGGGGTCATTCAATCAGGACAGCTACATGGATCATACAGCTGTAATTGGATTACAAAGATCGTTACATATTTTTAACAACAGACCCCAGTGGTCTCCCAGAAGTAAATAAAATCAATCTTTATAAGCCCCAGTAGACCTCATCCAAATGCCAAATAACAGCAGTGCGACTACACATAAAAGAGCAAGTAGCCATAAAAATATTAAGCTTCATAAATAAAATTAAGTCTATGAGGAACATGAGCTAAGACTGCAGCTTATGTCTAAATCTTAAAAATACCAATTCCCGGTTGCTGAGGGTCATTTTAGCTGCATTGGTCTCCAAGCTCTACATAAATACGAACTATAGAGCAAATGACTTATTTTACCTGAGCAGCAGTTTAAAATCCAGAGATACTCACTTTACAACCATGTGTGTCCAAGAAAAGCATCAAATAACCTTTTGAAGGGAAAGCTGAACTTTTCAGATGTTGCATGCCGAACATGTAGTTATTGCTTGTTCGTGAAAGCATAAAGCAAACATATGACTTTAAATTGTTTTGTCTCATATTTTATTCATTCATGTATTAAAAACACTGTGCAGAAACCTCCCACAGTCAAAATTCAGTGGAAGTGAAAAACCGAATGTACCTTCATGTGTGGAAATGTCACCAAAGAGCAAGAAAAACTGGTTGAAAATGTGCAAGGAGAGAAGTGAAAATCAAAAATGAAGAGCGTCACTTTGACGGGAACTGACACGAGATTAAAATGTAAAATGTGGGCCTGAGTTCATTAGTTCTGACTTACTGTCTCTGCCAGCATATATCAAGTTGCTTTAGACTTATTACCATATGACTGATGCAGGCAAATCTCTATTAGCTTTCGAATCCATCTCAAATGTAGGTCAGCGGTGTTACAGATCTGTGTCACGTTTGAGGGGAAGACACTGAACTGGGGCACTTTTAAACTGTAGTGTGAGCACAGGCTGAATTTTAAATGAGACATCAAAACAGCATCGTGCCCTCCAGTCCTGTTCTGTCTGCCGCTCCGCTTTTACTCTTCCTGGCACTTTCCCAAACTGCCCCATAACACAGGCCTGTATATTCTACAAGACTGCTGCTGCTGTCACGGCAGGCTGAGGTTCGTAGGTAAAATCCATAGAGAGGCTAAAAGGTGTCAGACATCCTAAATCTCAGAGGGGTTACCGGTGACATGCAAGGACGCAACGCAGGCTTTCAAGGTTTTTTACTGCTCAGACTTCTCCGCGGTGGTAGCTAATTAATTGCTCCATCCTGCAGCCACACACAGACTGTGAAACACACACCTAGACTTTTACCTAGAGATAGAGCTCATGATTTATGTAACAGTTCTTATTGTTGCCAGATATATTTAAACACATGTGCATGACTCATAGCGAAAACACATCCGACTGTTTCCCCTCTAGTTGAACTCGTATGTTTGAATAGGTGCATTTTTCCCGTCAGCAGAGGGAATGTGAACTAACCACAGCAGATTCACCTCTGTGACCTTGGTTTTATTTGTGGCTGCAGATTAAAGCGTGGGAAGAGGAAGAGATGGACAAGCCGATGGAAATCGATGAGATACGAGTGGACCCTTCCCCTTTTCAGCTGGTGGAGAGAACATCGTTACACAAGGTTGGTGGACAACATGTCTGTGTGAATCGCAGTTTGATAGTCTTTTTGAGACCACCTTGTTTTCGACAAGGTGGTGGATGTTGTACATTAAAAATGTTATTAACGTTTGGAGAAAGACGCGTTTTAAACTGCTAAAAAGTCATTCTACTGTTTAAGTCATCTCTATGTCTACCGGAGCATCACTTCTCGTGCTCCTGGTATTCTGTGATTGTTCAGTATAAATCCTTTTCTTACCTCAATGTGCGTCTGCGATCCATCCTGGAATTTCACTTTAAGGAAGAGAACAAAGTAGCAGGAGCCAAACATGAGCAAAGACTCAGTCGATTCTCTTTTCATTGCACCCTGAGTGAATGCTCAGTGGGTAATAGTTCAGGCAGTTTGCACTTTTTGTTCTCACCTGGACGTTTACATGATAGCGCACAACCCATGACATTTCAAAACAGCAACTGTGTTACTGACTTGATTGTCAAACTCTGTGCTTGGACACTCCAAACTCTTTGCAGCCAGAGACAGAGCTTGCATGTCCAGCGATGACTGATCAGAGATGAATAAGGGAAGGAGTTTGAAGTGGTGTTCAACAAAATGGGCAGAGTCATCGAATGCAACAACAAAAGCCTTGTTTTTAAAAACATTGCTTGAAATCACCATCAGTGGTCATAAACGCCAAAGAATGACCACATGAAAGCAATGCTGAAGCAACACATGGTATTACAACAGTAATTCAATAAAACCCTTTTTTACTTCAAGGTGGTTTTAAAAACACTTCACTGTAATATCAACTTCCAAACACTTTCCATACATACTGACATCTCTTTATTAAATTAAAATAACAACATTGACCAACATAATTGTGATTATGATGTTTTTCTATTATCAAGGACTCGTCTGCTGCACTCTCAGCAGCAGTTTTCTTTTTCAGTGTCTTTGATGTTCCCAGTATTATAAGAAATATGAAATCAAATGACCATGTTGTCAACCTCCTCTGTTTTCCAGTCCTATGGCACCTCTATAAAACACTGAGATCCTTCTTACACATTCAGAAACATCATTTCATACACCATTTACTGCATTTTGTCTCAATGAATGCACATTTTTCTTTATAGGAGGTACTGTCTCCAAAGCTTGTTTCCTAAAACAACCATTTCATTGAAATACTGGGGAAAAGCTGTTACCCAGCATGTCAGGGTCCCCCAGAAATCTTGCTGTTAGACATCATATGGCAAATTACTGCAGTACTAACTGTAACCTGTTAACAGTAAATATAATCTACAGTCATAAAGTAGCTGATTTATTGTTGTTTACTGTGAGTTTTGTAGCATTTAACTGTAGAAATTACAGAAAACTAACAAGAAAAATAATTTTTTTCTTAGAAACAGAGACAAAGTTGCTTTATTTTCATTTTATTAATCATTGTCACACAGTCTGCATTTATTCCAAAATGTACAGTTGCCTTGAAGAAGAGTTCATGTATTTTATCACATGCATTATGCAAGCAAATATCCATATAAATGTAATTCAGCCCCACGGGCAGTGGCAGTCTTTTGTTGGTGTTCTCACTCTCAGCTGCTAAGTTGTTTACTTCTGTTACATCTCATTCAGCTGAAGATGTGGATAACCTTGACAGGGGAGTAATGGCACATGAAAAACACTTAGTGAGGATGGTTTTTTATTCACACAATGTCGTCTGAATAAATAGAGATGGACACGACAGTTTTTCATTTTTGACCGAGAACAGAATCTTGTTTCCTGAGGTGCTGTTATATAAACCCAACATTTATATGTGGGAGCTGGAAAGTGTGGTTCCTGGTGCAAACACTGAAACGTGTTTCGTGCTCTAAATCTAAAAATGATTTAGAGCAGGCTGCCTCATCTTGTCAGCCTGCTCTAAATCATTTTTTGTTCTACTCTTGTCTCTTGTGTAATGTCGCAGTGAGGGGGTATCCCTAATGTGGTTATCTCAGTCATAAAAGCCCCGCCCACATGCTATTCAAACCTTCTGTTTGTTGGTGGCAGCCAATCATTGGCAGGATCTTGGTATTATTAATATGTATAAATTAATTCTTATTTATATAATACGGAGTTAGTAAGGTACCGTTCGATCTACGTCCCTACTCTCACCTATGGTCACGCGCTGTGGGTAGTGACCGGAAGAGCGAGATACAAGAAGCAGAAATGGGCTTCCTCTGAAGGGTGGCTGGCCTCTCCCTTTAGAGATAGGGTGAGAAGTTCAGCAGGAGGGCCTCAGAGTAGAGCCGCTGCTCCTCCACATCGAAAGGAGCCAGTTGAGGAGGTTCAGGCATCTGAAAAGGACGCCTCCTGGTTGAGGTGTTCCAGGCATGTCCCACCGGGAGGAGGCCCCAGGGCAGACCCAGGACACGCTGGAGAGATTATATCTCTCGGCTGGCCTCGGAAGGCCTTGGTGTTCCCCCAGACAAGCTGGAGGAGGTGGCTGGGGAGAGGGAGGTCTGGGCTTCTCTGCTTGGGCTGCTGACCCCGCGACCCGGCTCCAGATAAGTGGAATAAGATAGATGGAGTTAGTGAGGTAGTGTGCAAGAGTCTTGAGCTATTCCTCATTTTTTTGTCAAGAAAATACAAACTTTTGTGAAGCACGCACACATAAATGGAACTGCAGAATATGAGACCTGTTTCCAGTGATTTTCAGTGCAGTTCTTCTGTAATCTGGCAAACCTCAGCCTTCCCTCCCGGTTTCACTTCCATAAGAATGGCTTCTTGACAGTAACCTTCCTCTGAGAACAGTGATGTGCCTTCACTGAACAGGATCAACTGAGCGGTCAGATGCATCCCTCCGACCCCACATCAGGTCTTTGTTGGATTTTTTTCCCCTCTTTCATAAGGACATGACTCAGATGTACTGATTTTGTGCTGCAGATAGTTTTTTCATAGATTCAACTAAAGAAATAATGTTTTATATTAAAGATCTAAGTTGCCTCTTATGTGTGGTCACAACACTGCTTCAGCCCTTGAGTTGGAATCTTTTTTTGTTTTTGCTTGAATGATTGGAGAGATGTCTCGGGACTTTTTACCCAGCACTGTTAGTTTATGCTCAGTATTATCGTGTTTGCGCACAGCACACACAGCAAGTGTGACTTTGCTTTGTCTCCTGTTCTGACTTCTTCTATTCCCATTATAACTGTGAGTCTGTGAAGCGAAGTTTCGATACCTGTTGTTTAGGAAGCTCCAGGCAGTGAAGTGAAAATGATTTTTTTTTAAATAAAGCGATCCACCATGGAGCTGTTGCAGAGGGAGAAATCTATTCATAGAGACCAAAAGCCTGTTGTGTACCAAGCTGTAAACATGCTGTGTAATGCTATTAAGTCAGTCATTTTTAATTTTGTCGCTGTGCCAATCTGGAAATTGCCGGTCTGTTTTAGGTTTGGCAAGAATTTAGTCAAATGAGAAAATATCAGCCAGCCAAGCCTGAAACCACAGCTCTAAAAGCTCTTACACTGCCTAATCAATATGCACTCCATAATGAGTTACAGCAGTTTAATATAAGTTTAATATGAACTCTGGATATTCCCATTTATCTTATTTGCTTTGATGGCTTTTCATTCAGTAATTTCCTGCAGCTTTTGCTGTATTTTTGTTTTGAACAGTGACGTTTTCATTTGTCTCGTTGCAGTTAAAATGTCCCCGTGCAGCTGAATGCAGCCCGAGCGTGTCCGAGCTGCCCCAGTCGGGGATTTACATAAAATCTCTTGTAAATCTATGTATTTCTAATCATTTCCTGCCTTGTACAATCTCTGTGACCTGCTCACGTCCTTATTATGATTTTCAGATGTTTGCAGCATAGTGAAGCGTGTAAACACCTTGTACCATTCCCGTTGGTTTCATTGTCATGGTAATATTTGTAATATTCTGCTTATTCATGCGCAAAAGGGGGCCTTGTGATGGAGGTGTGCCGATGCATACAAAGAGCTCATCCCAAAGTGTGACCTTGGCTGGGTCGTGAACACAATAGTTTGTGCTTACAAACACGCTCAAGGACTTTCTCTTCCGGTGGTTCACCTGGAGCCTCGAGACATTCTGTCTGCGTGACTTTGTGTTTGGAGCAGAAAGCAAAAAGTTTGTGTAATTTCACAAGTGACCTTTTCCCCCTGTCTCCACAGACCCACACCTTATTCTCACTGCTTGGCTTAAGTCATGCTTATGTGACCAGTACTGGCAAACTGGTGGGGGTGGTGGCACTAAAAGAGGTAAGAAACGTTACTTTATTTCACCCTGCAGTTCGTTTTTCTTCCAGAAATGGACATTTACATTCCTGTGTGTGCTGTGAACAGCAGTATTTTTAGGTTATTTGTCTAACAGACAGACAAACTAATGCACTTTTTATATCAAGCTGGCTTTATATACTTGCTAGGAAAAGAAGGTGAGAGCATATTACCCCGTTTTAAAGTCTCTACATTAATGTAAGGATGCACAGATAACTTTTTTTCCATTTGTCTTTGTATATTTGAAGAAACTAAGTACTCCAATATTTAAAAAAGAAGAAGAAAGAGACTGACAATCTGTCTTTTACAGTCTGGAGAAAAAAAGGCCTTCACAGCACTCTGTCAAATAGTAAGCACACCTTTAATGCTTTCATAGGATTTAAGAGTGTAAGTAGCAGTCAGGTGCTGCTAATTAAATGCTCTTTATTAATGGCAATGCTCAGAGAAGTTGCAAAGAACCCCAAGAGCTACATCTGAAACGCTACAGGCCTCCGTTAGCATGTTAAATGTTAAAGTTCATGACAGCACAACAAAGAGTTTCCAGGAAAAAAAAGCCTCTTCTCTCTACAAAGAACATGGCAGCACAGCGTAGGTTTCAAAGTCGCATTTCAACAACAACAGTGACCTGTGGAATAATGTCCTTTGGACAGACAAAACCAAAGTGGAGACATTTGGCCATAATGCACAGAGTCGTGTTTGGAGAGAGCAAAGCTTCATCATAAAGGACTCAGGTCAGGCTGTAGCGCTGCGGTGCAGGAGTGATGAGTCGGGCTTGTTTTGCAGACACAGGACACTGCAGTCACTGAGTCGACCATGAACTCATCTGTACACCAAAGTAATCCAGAGTCAGACATGAGGCCAGCTGCCCAACAGCTAAAGCCCAAACTACCCACAGCAACCAATAATCAATCATTTTAATAACAATACATAAACACAGGATTGAAGCTAAACTGTAAACTGCAGATGTTCATGTAAAAGCTACAAGTAATCAGCCTCCAGTAAGCACACCGCTCCTTTTCACCAAATATTTTTTATGTTGTTGCTTCATTTTGATTTTGGTAGCTCTCTGCAGACTATTGCATTGGGAGTAAAAGACAAGTTAACCTGCTCTCGACGATAATCAAGCTATAAAAACGTAAAAACGTAAAAAGCCAGACTTTAGAAAAGGTCTGCATCCTACAGAGCCAAATTAAAATGTGGGACGCAAGGTAAATATGCTGTGCAGTCCCAGATAAGCAGGAACATCTGGTCACCCTATAAGCAGTAAGTGTTGTAGTTAATCACAGAGTAAGAGTGTTTGTGCGCTCTGTTGGAGTCATGTTAAGTAGCAATAGAGACCTTTAAAAATTAGCTTAATCGTGCCTTTTATTAAATGCTAGAAAGGTTGGTTTATTGTTTATAAAGATGCATGAGACAGAGCTTCATCTAATGAATAAATAGCTCAGACCAAACGGGCATAAAGAGTAAGCGTTGAACTGGATTAAAATTAACATCCTCCTCCTTTTATATAATCAGGGATTAAATGGTATTCCCCTTAAAATGAGTGCAAATGAACACATTTGTACTTGTATGAGGCGTTGCTGAAGGCAAACAAAAAGGTTGGGCACTGCTGGTCTGGATCTCAGCAGCACAGCCACAGCATGGCTAAAGCAGCCAGACCACAACCAGCTAATGGAAAAACTCTGAAACTATCTGAAGGTCTCCAGAACTGAAACCTAAGCATTAAATGAAATTAACTTTCCTGATCCAAGTCCAAAAAAAGCTCCTTTTTTAATACACTCAACCTTTGGAAGTCTTCTCTTGTTTGTCTTTAATTTGGAGGAAAAAATCCAATTTGTTTTTGCTCCTAATTTCCTTGGAGTCTCGTAAAGCTTTTTGAATTATGTATGAGTACTTTGTGAGCATAATCAATAAGCTCTCTGTAAGTTTTGGGCTCCTGTCTTTATCCATAATGGTCTCTGACTCATGCTCCTGTGTCGCCTCATTTTCTTTAACTTTTCTTTCCTCCATCTGTGTAATTGCTCACCACTGACTCTGTCTAATCCCTGCTTGCTTTCCTTCATTTCGTCTTTACATTTTCACCATTCATGTATGAATTCCGCTCATTTCTTCTTGTTTTTAATTCTTCCCCTCACTCTTCAAACCCTGCCTCTCCTTCTTACTCTTCTTCTTCTTCTTCTTCCTCTTTCTCTTTCTCTTCTTCTTCTTCCTCCTCCAGCTCCAAAAGGCCATCGAGGGCTCCACACGCTCTGGTGTCCGGCTCCGCCCTCCTCTGGCCAGTTTTCGTGATATCAGCAACCACAACTCGGTCTCTAAACCTCCACCTCCATCTCCCAACGCCCCTTCCTCTCCTCCCTCACCTGAAATTGTTGCTCAGGCTCCTCCCCTCTCTCCCCCCTCCCCCTCTCAACACCACCACCATCACAGCCATGAGAATGAAACAGAGGTGTTGATCGAGGGTGTGCCGAGGGAGGTGGAGGAAAGCACCAGTAGCGCTTCGGGGAGCGGCAGCAGCACGGTGGCCTGCAGCTCGGCCAGCAGGAGCTGCAGCTGCAACAGCAACCTCACCCTCCCTCCTTCTTCTACTCCTCCCCCAGTCCCCTCTTCCTCCACTCCTCCTCCCTCTCCTCCTCTCTCCTCCATCCGCCTCTCCACCCTACAGAGACTCTTTGAGGAAGAGGAAGACAGCGATGATGAGCCTATGGTTTAGCTTACACAAGAGTGATGCTTTTTTTTTATAATGGAAAACTTTTATAATAGTTTGAGTTTATTTCTTCTGTTCTTAATACATTTCTCCGGTCTTTGTACTTCCATTTACCTCTTTTTATGTTACTGGTACAGCTTCCACACACTGGTTTCACAGACCATCACCTGTTTGGTGCAAAAAACACCTTAAACTGCAATATTCATCTAGTTCCTTTGTATCAGGTGCGATTAGAAAGTTCGTGGTCTCCGCCCACAAAAGAAAAAAACAAACACTGACTTAAATATGGCTGATCTTTCCTACAAGATCAGGTCACTGTGCACTTCTGAACCTCCAGTGTGCCTGTGCTCCGTCTGGAAAGCCCCCTGGAAGCTGTGGTACGACTGCACATACACGTTTGTAATTTCAAAATGCATGTGAAGAGCGCTCATCCCCTTCTCTGTCACAATGACCCAACTTTAACATAAGGATCATCACTGGTGATAACGACCTGTTCATTTTTATACAGAGGTCTATTTTTTCTTCAGTTTAAATCAAATGCTCCCTTTACCAGTAAAGCATGGCTGAGGCTTCTCTTTGTCTGCACCAGCACCCTGCAGTAACATCCAGTTACAGCAGGCCTGTGGGGATAGTTTGCTTCCCTTGTGAGACGAGCTTTATGGTCACAAACACCCCCTAGTTGTTCTTGTGGGGACCTGGATTTTGGTTCCCACAAGTATTGTAAACTTGCAATTTTTGGTCCCCACAAAGATATGAATACACACTCACTCACACATGCACAGAGACCTCTCCAAGTGAAAAAAGTTAAATGTAAGATGCTTATTATTTTAAAGAATAACTCTGGTTAATAATCAAGAATATAACATTGACCAAAATGACCGTGATTATAATTTCTGCTGTAATAAAACAGGAGCTCCACACGGCGATCTAAAAACAAGCAAACAGTGGATGTGTGTCCAGAGATGTAAAGTGAGGCGACATCGAAGCTGAAATCAACCAAATTAAAGTCGCGTATGTTGTTTTCTTTTTGTGGGCGGATTCGTTGAGCGCTCTGATTGCCACGCGTAAGCTCTGAAGCTCTGTACGTCTGTAACGTTTGCTCGTTTTGTTTTAATTTCTGCTCATTTTCTTTCTCTTGTTGTTTCACACTTTGATTTTCATGGGTTAAATTGTAGATGCTGCCAAGTCCACAAAGTCAGGTATCTAACTGTGATATGCTCTTTTTGAATATTTGATAATGACGGTTTTAGCACTCTTAAACTTATTTCGGAGATCCAGTAATATCACTGGTTAAGGTCAAATAACCCACCTGTTCAGCTGCTAGACATGTTGAATGGCCCTGTGATGAACTGGTAACTGTCCATAGGCTCCAGCCCTTCCACTAACCTAAACTGGAGAAGCGGTTAATAAAATGGATGGATGGACATTACTGAGGAGTAGATTGATAAAACACTGCTACCATTTCTACTGTCTGAATCCAGACTGCGATTGATTAACTGTGCCTCTGTCACAGCTGTTTCCAACACCACACACTTTACTGTATGTTCTGTGGGGTTATTTTGACTGTAACGCTCTCTGCTCAGCTGAATCCGAATAATCAATCAAAAGCTTTGCTTCCCAAACAAGAGGTGAACCCGGTGAACTGCCGCACAGTTGTCCTGTGTTAGCCAATCGCTTAAGTCTTAAAAAAGGTAGGATTTTATCAGATGAGAGCAGAGGGTATTGATTTATTTTAACTGGCAACGAACCGTGTGGGTAGCAGAAAACTAATGGAGCTGCTCAGTCCACTGTGGAAGATTGGCCAAAGCCCCACAACGACCTCCAAATTGTGCGGCGACCTTGTGGATGCAGCCTCGGAGCTCATCTCATCACAGTTAAGTTGATAGATGGTGCGGCTGGAGGCGGCTGACGACAGCAAAACCTCGCCGTGCAGATCCTCAAGATTCTCCTTTTCTCCTCAAAAAGGAAGCCTTGCAGATTTAACCCTAATCACTTTAATAATTCTAAATGGGATTATCAGAAAAATCTACTGAAGCTCAGAAGCTCATTCTAATATGATGATAGCCAAGGTTCTCTGACAGGGAAGGAGACATGTACAGATGTGTTGCCAGAGAAACGTTTCCCAGTTAATGCTGTTAAAGATGCTAAAAATAGCTTCTTTTTTAAAGCTGTTGTGATGGTTATTATAAGAAGCAAAGCTGCTCATGTAACATTTTCAAAGAATAAAAGTCAAGAAATTTAATGACTATTTAACCTTAATGTCTTCCTGAGCTTTTGCCTTCTAGGCAGCTGCCTCTGTAGATGGTTCAGGTGTCTGGTTCATATATAAGCTTCAGTTAATCACATACAACTGAAAACAGGCCTGCTTAATACAAGCAGCATCTGGTACCTCCACGTCAGAAATGCAATCCTTCAACTGTTTTGTGGTTTCAACACAACAGCAGGAACAAAAACCAAACGCTTTGCAAAAAGAGGCTTTGAGCTGTGAAGTTTGGAGTTGGGTGAAAATCACAATCTCAGTGTCCGTGGTCTGTCAGCATCAGGGTATTAAAAAATAAAGAAGAATCAGGCAGTATGTATCGGTGGGCTTCCACCAGGTCTGCTGGAGGGATAACACAGCACTGTCCTCCCACAGTACCACATACTGTGTGTCACAGTCATGCTCACCTCTCACACAGACTGCAGACACTCTGCTGCTGCTGCAAGAGAAGAAAAGGGGATGACTTAGAGTGAAGAGGAAAAGAGTTAGATCACAACACTCGTCTGGTGGTTATATCTGTCTTATTTTTACAGTTGGTAAAACATCTCGATGCTTCAGGTCAAGAGAGGAGAGGGTGGGGATGTTTGATGGGGTAAGAGGTGTGACGTGATAGTCAAATGGTTTGGCTTCGTGTGGAGTTTTTGAACATGATGTTTGGTTATTTTTTTGACAGCACTATTGTCTGTTGACTAAGCCTAAGTGGAAATGTGGACCCTCAGGTATATAGCAGGGGATATCCAAGCTAAGATTTTATGAATACATTACTTTAGTATAGTTTATTTTTAAACAAATGACTAAAAAGCTAAAAAAGAAACAAATCTAACTCGAACATGATTGCTAGAAGCACTCGACTACATGCGTCTGTTACCTACAGATTCATCTGCAGATATCTTTATCTGTTTGTTGAGATTGTTTGCTAATGTCAAACACAACACATAATGGGACTTCATAACCAAACATGTAAAATAAATGGTCTCTAAATGACCAGATTTTCTCCCCGTCATGAACAAAGGGTGGGAACCTCAGCCATTGCATCCATGCACCGTTTCTCCATTTCTCCTTCATCTCTCTCTCTTATACGGTCTTCTTATTAACTCCTGGTATCAGTTTCTCAGGTGTTGCCTTAAAAGTCTTTAAACCTTCAGATTTGACAAAACATTTCTTTATGTCTGTTTCTTGGGTGTGGAGGGACATCGGTGCAGGTCTCAGTGTTTATTTGTGGTTGTGGTTAATGTAGTATTTATTTCTGTTTTAGTCATTATCTTCAACTTTATAAACTGTGAACAACTTAGCTAAATAAAGTTTTATTTGAATGCGTTACTGTGTTTGAATTTGGTTTATTTATCCAGGTCAGGCTTGTTGCTAAGAAAGGTCTGAAGGCAAAAGTGGGGCCACCTTGGTTCTAGCAAGGTGTACTTAATAAAGTGGCCAGCTAGCAGTTGTAGCTTATCTAAAGCATCGATAGATTGGCAGACAGGCTGTGGTGCTAGTAATTACAGGATCCAGTGTAGTGAAGTGACTGCAGTCTGTTTCATCATTGTTTTATTTCCATGTCTGCATAAAATGAAATCCTTTCTGTGAATTACTCTTTGTGATGGAGTTGTTTTTAAGTGTCTTGTTATCATTAAAAAGTTGAAATGACAGGTAAAATTACGCTACGACAGGATCTTTACGACCTTGTCTGTCACCATGACAGACGAGAAAGTCGAACGCGACCTCTGCCCGGCACCATCGCTGCTTGCAGCTAAATTATTAAACTTTACTTTATTCTGACAAGATGACAGGATTTTATTTTTCTACTTTAATTGCTTTTTATCTCGTGTTATTTGCAAAGAGTAAGTGTCACTTTGATACGTGACTTTGAAAGAATTTTTTAGGCTTTCAATTAGTCTTCTTTGGAAGATGCCTGACTCATTTTAGAAGAAACCTTTTCTGGGTGGCGTGGACTGTGCAGAAATTATTTTGAAAGACCGAGTAATTATTCAGCACGACGGACACCTCGTGCAGTTAAATCTGACAAAAACTCTATATTAGGTTTCATAGCTTTAATAACCTTGTGGCCCTCGTTTCTTTGTCAGTCAGGTGACACCCTTTCGAGCGTGCAATCATTTGGCGTTTTGGGCGCTAGAACGATTTACAGGATGAGATCTCAAAGAGGACAAACAGAGGACAGATGATTATCAGAGCAATTAGGGGCATCAGGGTCTTAATCACAGGAGGGTAAGACTGAATCGTTCTCAGTAGCTCTGTCTCAAAGAGACGATGTGAAAAAATAACGCATAATTACATTGATTTGCATTGATTTTATCAGTGGCAGCTGGTCCATGGAGGCAGAGGAGGTTGTTCCTCTTTGGGGGGTTTTGAAATAAAGATGAGGTCAATGCAAGAGGGGAAAAGGATTGAAATAAATCCTTCCCAAAACTCAGCATCATTTATAAAATACATTTTGTCTCTTTCATGCTGACCCGCCCCAACAACCATTCGCACTCACATCACATCCACACCTATAAGCAATATAAATTAATAATTTAATCTAATCCCGACTAACTAAATGTCTTTGGACTGTGGGAGGAAGCCAGAGGGAACATGCAAACCCCACACACAAACACCCCGGCTGTGGGGGAATCAAACTCTGGACCTTCACGCTGTGAGGCAACTGTGCTAACCACCGTGCTGACCAATGTTTCTCAGGTAATGTCTTGATGCACGCTCAATCATCCAGGTAAGTAAATCCCAAAACATTGATTCTGTTCATCTGGACATTTTCAGTGGGAGAAACGTTTCCTCATTCATCCAACTGACTTCCTCAGTCTCAGCTGACTGCAGGTTTCCCCAATCTTATAAACAGTACATTTGTACAAACACTGAATGAATTCAGCTTGCTAGGTTTCTCAAGTAACATTTAAGATTCATCATGAGCTGATGATTCATCTGTTGTGAAATTAAACCCTCAGAACGGCTCCCAAAAAGCTTAAAATGATAAAAGGACTTGAACATACAAGGACACTCTTCTACCTCCCAACGATAATGGAGTCCTCACATGAAGGAGGCTGTTGATTGTGATCAGAGCAGCTGAAGTGTTTTTATGGAACTGCTGGCGACAAGAACGCTGCCACAGGTCAGTAAAGAAACTGCACACTGCTGCTTGAAACACAGCAAGATATTCAAGTATTCAGGCCTTTGCTTTCTCTGACTTGCTTAATATATAATGGGCTCATATAAAAGCTCATTTAAGACAACCTATTTAAACTACCTTACTTTGTAACACATTCCTAACCCAACCTGATGCCTATTCTTTTTTGTACTGGCGATCTTGCTGCTATATCTCCCCAGTAGGGCCAAAAAAATCAAATGCTTTGCATTAATGTAAAACTGTCTTTAAAAGCTGCTGTTAAACACCTGTAATTACATGTTTGTTACAGGTATAAAGACGATGCAGTGCCAAGTTTGAGACGAAAAGGCATAGACACAGATTTTTGCAGGTGACCTTATTGCATATGTATTTATAAGAGCACAAATATTTCAGAGGCGAGAATTCAATGAAGTTAGATACATTTGATTTTTGTAATATTATTTAATGGCAAAAAGGCACTTATTTTCTTATTTTGTGCCAGATGTGGGGCAGCATGGTGGCACGGTGGTTAGCACTGTTGCCGTACAGCAAGAAGGTCCTGAGTTCAATTCCACCATCAGGCCGGGGTCTTTCTGTGTGCAGTTTGCATGTTCTCCCCGTGTTTGCGTGGGTTCCCTCCAGGTACTCCGGCTTCCTCCCACCGTCCAAAGACATGCAGCTTGTGGGGATAGGTTAATTGGATAATCCAAATTGCCACTATGTGTGAATGTGTGAGTGAAAGTGAGTGCGAATGGTTGTCTGTCCCTGTGTGTTGGCCCTGCGACAGACTGGCGACCTGTCCAGGGTGTACCCCGCCTCTCGCCCTATGACAGCTGGGATAGGCTCCAGCGCCCCCCCGCGACCCTGAAAAGGATGAGCAGAAGCGAATGGATGGATGGATGGATGTGCCAGATGTGGGTGTGATAGGTGCTGCTAAGAGTTCAGTTGGAGTGATAGAGGCAGATGTTGGAAACACGTTTTTTGGGATGGCCTAATGCACGGGGCTGTAGACGAGTTAATTTTTAAAGTGAGCAAAGCATTTTGCAGTGTTTCAAGTTTTAGTGTCTTGTGAATTGCAAATAAAGAAAACCGCAGAAAGCACAAAAGCTTTTGTGCATCTTTATTCAGCACAAATCACATTTATGCATTTTGCTCTGTATGCCTCTCTAGTATTAGATCTATTACATAACTTATAGAGAAGTCTGGCAAAATACGGCTAATAATGTGACTCAGAGTTGAATTGTTGAGTTGAGTCTTGGTATATGTTGTGTAGCCATCACTGAATTTAATGGGGATTTTGTAAAAAGAGGTTTGTTTATTGCCCTCAGGTAGCTGAGTCAGATTCTTTTCTCTGACTTTGAATAGCTGCAACATCACATGGCATGCAGGGAAAAAAATGTCTGTATTTAACGCACATGGAACAAAAGGAGTAATTTATTAATTCCTGGATTAGTCGGGATCATGGGGTAATTTCTGCACCGTGTTATTCCTCTACACATCCTATAGCCCGGCTGTTATACACAGACTTATACACAGTCCAAAGACAGCCCTTATACTAGAACATATCAATTCACCTTCCCCTCCTGCTCCCACATTACTTCATTTGCTGCTTCTGGAGAGAAACACATGCGTAAAGCTTGTGCTCGTTCACTCTCACTTCCTAATGGATCACCTGCAAACATCCCTTATGATCACTGAGACGTCACTTTTATTTGTCCCGCCTAGTAACTCTGGCCAAATATAAATTCCTGCACATCGCAAAAATAAAGGAGTCCCTATTGAATCATCAAAAATACTTTCTACATGATAACTTTACAAGTGTAACTGTGGTTGTGGTAATCAAATGTAACTGCATTACTGGTAGATACAATAAATGGCAGTTAAAGGAAGAGTTATAGGAAGGTGTTTTACTACAATAAAAGCCATAAAATGAAACTAAAAACTAAGACATAATTCAAATGTTTCAACAATGTTTAGCTCTAGAGTGCTGTTAGATTTGTATTGTTGATTGTCATTTATGCTTAGAAATATTTACTTATATATGCTTAGAGTTTTGTAATTAGTTGTAGATTGGTAGAGGTTTTGATCCTTGATAGTCTGCAAACTTTGTGTGTATTAGACAGCACTTTGGGAGCATGAGAGGTCATACCGTGTCTTATTGTTTTATGGTAGGATTAACGTAGTTGCGTCTGTTCTAGTCTAAGTGCTCTTTGTTTAGATGAACTGCAGGACTTCCTCACCGTGTTATCTAGGATGAACCATCTAGGGGGAGGGGGAGGCTACCCTCTTCCTGACCAAGGATGTTTGACCCTTTGATCAGCAGTCCACACACACACACACACACACACACACACACACACACACACACACACACACACACAGGCAAGGTACTCTTTGTGTGTATGTAGACGTCATATGTTAATGAACTTATGCATATTCATGTAACCTCAATAAAAGAACAGTGGTACGGGAGAACGGACGAGAGCAACTGGGGTCAAGCGAAGGAACGGTGCCTGTCCGGTTCTCTCCCGTGCACGAGAAACATGAAGAAGCTTGCCTACTTGTGTCTTGCTTTGCAGTGTAATTATATTGCCTTCAACGTTCCAGCGGATGGGTTCAAGCTACAAACCTATCAAGTGCAGCGCCCACAGTCAAACGACAGACTCTCAAAGGAGATTCTGAGAGCTTGTATTTCAGTTAGTGATTATTTATTTGACAGTGAGTTGATTCCTTGTGATATTCCAGAGTCTGTTTTTACTTCAGGGTTTTCTAGTAATGTCCTCTTCTAGTTTGGGTTCATGCGTTCATTGTTACTCCAGTGTGTTGAGCTTTATTTTGACCTTTTTTTAATTTGAAGTCTGTTTTCGTGGCTTCCTGATTCCTGATTAGATGGTTGCTGCTCTAGCGTTAGTTTTGAATTCTTCATCTGTGTTAAGCGTCAGCTCCTAGTTTGAGTTGGATGTTTGTGTGTTTGGTTCTCTTGGTGTTCTCGTGTTTGATCCTCCTCATGTCTCATTTTGTGGTTAATTGCCTTTCATGCGTTGGGTAAGCAGCCGATAAATGGCTCACTTTTCCATCATGTCTGCCTTCGTGTCCTGCATAAACCTTGACAGCTCTCCCCTGTTTAGAAAGTTGCTCATTAAGGCAAAGAGGTAACACATTATCTTAATGAAGGCATCACAGGAGAAAAAACGTTTTTGGCACAG